AGCTAGTATTAATATATGCTAAATGAACGCTTATTTGTATTCATGAATATATTTACGTAATTCCAATTAGTGTTGACGAAAGTGAACAAAAAATACAAAACATTGAAATACACGATACGGTTTCATTCATTCATATAATGAATGATTCTGAATGGAAATGAATGAAGTGTAACCATTCGTTCAAACATGTAATAGGGCAGTCTTCCTGCAGTTATATATAGACTGGAGGATATGTCGACGCGAATTGCAATTGTGACGCAATTATTACCACATTGCGTTACGTAACTTTGCAATTTAATTTCGAATTAATTAGTATAAAATACATACATACAAAAATACATATATTATATATAGAAAAATCTCTCAATTCATCCAAACACATATATGAGAGTATTAATTCGTTCTAACCTTCATAGATATCATTTTTTAAATAATTAATCTGTATTTCTTTCAATCTATAAAGTCTTAATAATCTGTCTAACTTTCGTACACATGACATTGACCTGACATATGGCGTGGCGCCAATATCTTCAAACTATTCGCAAATCTATTACTTCGTTACTCTCATTACGTAAAACATACAAAACAATGTTATACATATATACCTACTAGCTTTCGACCAGCAGCTTCGCCCGCGTGGAGTTCGGTTATATCGCGTTTCCAAGAGAACCTTTCAAAAGTCTGTAATAAAAACTATCCTATGTTCTTTCTCAAGGTCAACTCTATGTCTGCACCAAATTTCATTAAAATCAGTTCAGCGGTTTAGGCGTGAAAGCGTAACAGACAGACAGACAGAGTTACTTTCGCGTTTATAATATTAGTAAAGATACGAAATATGTACATAAAATAAAAATTAAATTTCTATAAATGAATAGCTATTAGTTAAAATTGAATAACTAAAATAAAAACACATGACAAAGTTCCGAAAATATTATTCTTAATTAAAAGATCACAATTAGCTTCAACTAGATGTAACTATAACTATATTTAATTATAAATATTTAGTTCAACTCACTAACTTCAATACTAGATGAAACTCATTCAAATTGGGGACCAAATCTTGGTTATAACTCACCACAGAAATTGATACCAATAAATTACAATCAAGATTCTGTCGATCGTAATTATATGACCAGGAGTGTCAGTCAGTCAGCTCCAATGACGAGTTAAGGTTGAGACAAGGTCATAAAAGATGACCGTCAAAAGGTTATACATATCATCAGCTGGTAAGATATATACTCTTTATTGTACTGAAAAATTTACAAGATTATTTTACAAACAGAATTATTGTGCACAATGGCAGGCTTATTTCTAAAAGAAATTTCTTCCAGCCAACCCACCGCTGTAAGAGTAGTTGTGTACAGCAGGTAAAAATTGTGCAATATGATTCTATTAATAATATAATATATAAAAAAAACAATTTCAATATAACACATAGTATAGTATAAGATCTTAGAAAATAGAAAATTACGACGATTGAAAAAAAAAGTATATTAACTAAGATTTGCATGATATTCCATTCATTTTGAGGATATTTTAACCGACTTAATATGAAAGAATATAATACAACACATTTTAAACCCACAGTAGTAGGTACATAAACCTCAAAATACGATAGAGGAATATTTTTTTACACTTCTTGATACAGTTTCAGCACAGTAAAGCCGAAAAGTGGCCAAAAGAGATATGAAACGCGGAAAAATGCCGATGAATAACGAAAAAAGCCGATGATAGCCGAAAATTGCCGAAGAAAGTCGAAGAAAGACAAAAGAATCTATCACATATGAGTTGATTCATAATTAAAACAAACGCGTCATATTTCTTTACGACAATGGAGTTATTGTGATTGTAAATAAGGATTAAAACTATAAGAAGTTTTATTAATACTTAAATATTAATTAATAAACATTAATTAGGCAAACCCTGGCTACAGCTGGAAAATTGCCAAGAAGAAGAAACATTAATTCGAAACTTAACACATATATACATAGTTAAAAAGATGATTTTTATATATTTTTAGTAATAGCTTTATCTTAGAACTATAGCAATGGTTTTGAGAGAAACAAAAAGATCCTCAAGCTATAATGATTTTTATGATTGTTTAAAAAGAAAATCTCTTGAAAGTTCAAAAGATATTGTTCATTTAATAAATAAATAAAAAACACCTTACCTAAAATACCTTCAAGAACAACACAGATGCTATACTTAAATAAAAACAACATAATATTTACAAATCTCATTGAATTTCAATATATTCTTTGTTAAAGAAAAACAAAGTGTATGCACACTCACTATCATAATATATGTATGTTAATAAATATATATAAAATTAGATTAATTAATAATTAATTCATGAATATTATATGTGTACATATATATATATATATTATGTGTAGTAGTGAGCGTCAGAATCATAATTATTTCCCTCTTAGTGTGAGCTCGACTCCAATTACATATGAAAACATTGTTACATAATAAACAGCAGTAAACTATACCATCATTATATACATATTAATGAACTGTGCATATTAAAATATACATATATACAGAATTTATAAAAAAATAGATAAAGTTTTATTTCTGTGTAGTATTAAAATAATCAACCTGTATAAAATGCATAATTATATAGATATATACATAGTGTAACAAAAAACTTGTTCTAACTAATATCTGAAATGGCTGCACCGATTTTCATAGAACTTTTACCACTTCATATGATGTAATTAGGGAAAACTCAGTTACTTTTTTGTAAATGGTCTATTCTCTGTTGATGATGTCAGTCACATGTGTTTGTTTTCATCACAAATAGTTTTATTTCATGAAAAACTTAATTAAAACTAGTTCAATTAATGAAGTAAAATAATTAATTAGGTATATAGACATTTTAACTGACTTAAAAGATGTGGTAATTCTTATATATATATATGTGCATATGTTTTTATGTACTTTTTATAATTCAAATTAGAATTCAGACAATAGTGTCAATATACCAAGATTATTGATTGATATAGAATATTATACTTTATTACTTCATAATAGAGATTAATTTGTATCATTACATTATAATAGTATTGTTGAAAGTTAAATTACCAGAATTGAAATATACATTTCAATGTAACATTTGATAAAGTGTATGTGGAACAGTGATTCATATACATAGAAGAAAATATAGAGGAAAAATTATAAATTACTTAAATTACTACATTAACATAGAAAAACATATATTTGTAACATAAAATATAATTTAAATTACAATATTTTTATAAACAAAATTAATAACAAATAAACAATTACTTGTTTGAAATACGTCTTAAAATTATATAAGTACGACTTGTTTACACGACGTAAACACGCGAATTAAAATTCAAATATTTATATACATATAAATAAATATTTTCAATATTATTATTATATATATGCATAGTATTAAAGCTATTATTGTATATATATTTTAATTTAGACGACAATGTTACGAGAGTTAAGAAATTCAGTTGGTCCCGAAAAATAAAATAAATCCGCACGACCTTGACTCAGTTACATCATAAAGTAATAATTATTTAAAATTATTTTATTAGAGCATATATCGAAGTAAATGTATTCGTAAACATAAATTTAAATAATCCGACCTAAATATTAATATAGTTCAAACAATAAATGTAAATAAATTTTTATACTCACCAAAGTCGATAAATTGTTTTATAGACAGCGGCGATGGATTGAATTGGGAATAAAAGTCCAACATTTTAGTAACATTACTAAAAATCGTGCCCGCCAACCTCATTTTCGTATTTATTTATTTATTTTTTTCCAAAAAATTATATTAAAACGTGAAGCGTTGAATATTTGATATATTCTTATTAAATATTTGGACACATATTATAAAATAAACACGATATATTATCACTGGTGCGTAAACGTAAACCATCCATGAGTATATTGTTAAGACTGTTTTGTTTTTATATATCACTTGTCTCTAATAAGTACTATCAACTTTATATACAACTGATATACAACGTAATATACAACTGACGTATATTGTAAGATCTGGAACGATTTCGATTCAGATGACACTTCTGACGGGCGGGATTCAATTATTAAAATTTAAGCATGGCAATATTATGATATATAATTATTAAATAATTTAAAATCCATGAGCAACCTCTTCATTTAATTCTTGTACACAACCGTGATATAAATTCTAATAAAGTATAAAATATCGGAAATTATAAAAATAATAAATGCATAAGCTTATAAAAGAAAAAGTATATAATCATTAATTTGTTTTAAAAATTCTACATTAAAATAATTTGTCCCTTCAATTAAAAATTAATTTATTATATTTTCACTTCAAATTTAGACAGTGAATACTATTAAAATATCATAGGTAGACTTACAAAAAGTTTCAAGGTTTACATTAATAATTGTAAAAATATAAAAACTTGTTGATATTGTTGACAAGTGACAATATTATTTTGATTTAATATGAAATTCTCAATACTTAGTGTTTATACTTACATACACTTTTGTTCATTTTAAAATAAGCGACTCGGATCGTTTAATAAATTATAATGTTTCAGTTATAAATTAAATTATAAATGATATATATTAAAAGCAATCTTTTAAATGCAATAATCAAGTCCTCTGTTTCCCTGAGGAAGGTAACTATTTAAAGTTTTAAAATAGTTACGTTGTACATAAAAATTATAAGTAGTATTTAAAAAATAATAAACTTTTAACAGATACTAATTTAATTTATTTATTGCGTGTAGAGCAATTGTTAGTGAATATGTATATTAAGTTTTTTTTAATTAGCGCTTAGAAAGTTTTAACTTAAGACTTAAGTAGAGAAATAAATTCATTGATATGTATTTATTTATTTAAAAATGAGATATGTCAAATGTGTTATTGTATAATTTGACTTTTAAAACTTATGACAAAAGGTAAGAAAAAAACAACTATCAATTTAATTTAAATAAATTATAATCAAATTATATTTCCAGATGAGTCATAAAGTATTTGTGTATGGTACTCTAAAACGAAATGAACCAAATCACCACTGGCTTACAGACCCCAAAAATGGTGTTGGAACTTTTATGACTGAAGGGAAAACTAAAAATAAATACCCATTAATCATAGGGACTAGATATAACATACCATTTTTATTACAAGCTCCTGGGAAAGGACATCATGTTAAAGGTAATAAATACTCTGTATCCAACCAGCCAGCAACCACAGTGCTTTTAAAAAAAAATAAAAAAAAATGGGTATCAGTTTAGAAATCTGTATTTTTTTTATTAGTAATGTATTTATATTAATTTTATCTTTCAGGTGAAATATATGAAGTAGATGATTTAATGTTGAGTAAATTAGATATTTTAGAGGATCATCCAAATTATTATGTCAGAGAAGTGGATGATATTGTACCTATAAGGTAATATTTGTTTTTGACTTTTGTTACATTTTTTTCATATATTTTTCATACATATCAGTGTTTTCTTAATCTATTTTGAATGTTACAAGAAATTTGAGCAAAACATTTTATGTTATCACAAAATATATTTAACATTTAAGCGGCTCACAATCTGAAAACATTAAATGCTGGGTGTATTTCCTGAAGAATTTCCGGCCCGAGTTGTTGTCAAAGCAGCAGTTTGAATGCTACTCGTCCAACGGAGATCACGGATTGAAGTACATGGAGAGGTCTAACAGAGATCCTAACGATGATTACTATCCCGAAGTTAAAAGATGAGAATTAATTAGATATTGGTAAGACTCGGTAACATTCAACTTTTAAATTTAAACATTTTGAGGCAAAAACATTAATTTTTATGTATTATTCAAATCATTACAGACTTACTCATTGAATTTTATAGTATTATAATTTATTTTTTTCATTTTAATATATTGGTTTATGTTAAATTACTTTAAAATGCATATATCTAATTAATTCTCATTATCAATTTGTAAGCTTACCATCAGTTTTGAATGTAAAAACTACATAAAACTAAGATTTTTCGAGTATTAATTTAAATTATATTAAATTTTTCGGATGTAGTACGAGAATAACTTTATCTCGTCTGTCTGTGATCATGATTGCTGTAAAGTAACCAATTGTTGGGAGTATGTTGCTTAAAGTTATGAAAAAAGCATACATACATACATTCATACATTCGATAATATTACGTTTTTTTTATTGATATAATATGATTATAAATATGTATATTAAATCATATTATATCAATCATATATATTATAATAAATCTATGATTTTTATATACGGTTAGGAGAAAAAAAAATTACATACTATATCTGTATATACATAAATGTAAGTTTTATATAGTTCATTAGGTAATATTATTAAAATTCATATAGATTTTTTTTTTCATTCTATGGTATTCACACTCCTATTATACAATATTATGGCAATATCAACATTTCATATAGTTATTAATTAATTTCTTTTTACAGTGACAACGAGTCCACTATAGATGACTTGGATGATATGATCAAAAAATAATTGATTTAAAACAAGAGATTTAGTATAAATAACATGTAATTATACATTCCTTTATATATTGTTAAAATTATTTTATGTTGTTATTATATTTACTTTGTTGGCTTTTTGTTTTTTTAATTATACTACTTAAGTAAATAAAAACCTGCATCTAGCCGTATTTAAAAATGGAGTATTTTCTCAATTTTTTTCTTATATTCGTTAAGTGATTATCCAGCCAAATATAAATCATATCCCTGAATTCCTATTTTGAATTTGATTGGTCATGGGTTCCTTATACATTTTATTTAATTTTCATTTTGTTAGAAAATTAACGAAACCTTTTTAATGAAATTTAAATAAACCATTGCTTTGTAATGTTTCTTGAGGAGAATTATAGACAGATTTGTTGATTTTTATTTAATGCAATTAACATTACATTAATGACAAAAAAAAACTTTGTAATACATCAGTCGAGTTTTAAAGTCTTTTTAATATTCAAATGTTTCAATACGTATTTTGTTTTTATTCTTCTAGTCTATTTAAGTATCAAATTTTTAAACTAGGTAATGTACATTTGACAAACGTCAAATGTCAAATCCACATGTTTATTATCAAAAATGTCATTATGCATAAAGGTTACGATTTATCGAAATAGATAGAAAAAAATAATTTATTTTATTCAATATGGACTTCGCGAGAAAGCAACTTGAAAAATACGGCTGGACCGATGGTACGGATATCACTATTGTCTATTTCTCTTAATATATCGTGTATCAAAATCTAAATGTTATGTTTTTTAATTTATTAAAGAAATATATTCCTTATCTAGGCAAAGGTCTAGGCAAGAATGAAAACGGGATTTCGGAGGCATTGAAACCTAAGTTAAAGAGGAGCGTCACTGGGATAGGTTATGACGCGGCGCAGGATTTCACTGAGCATTGGTGGAGCGCTTTGTATGATAAGGCAGCCAGCAATGTTGAGGTAGAGGTTTTATAACACTTATTTTATAAATAACCAGTTGTAGCCCGCGACTTCGCCTGCGTTAGTTTCAGAATTAGAAATGTACAGCAGTTCGGGTGGATGATGTCCCTCTTTAAAGACTGTAGATAAGAAGATTTAGGATTTTAGCAACGTTTTTTTTCTTTTCTAATCGGATGTAAATTATCCTACGTCTTTTTCCTGGTTCTAAACTATCTCTCCATCAATTTTCAGTTAAAACCTTATGGATAAAGCCATTTTTGAGTTATAAATAGTGTCACTAATGCAACTTTCTTTTATATATATAGAGAATGGTAATATAATCTTACAATTTTACTGTGATTCCATCCTTAACACATAATTTTAATGACATGAAAATAAAATAATTCATTCCTTCTTTTCATTTATAAATGACCTTGGACAAAATCTTGTTGGTTTGTTTATGTTGGACCACTATCCAAAAATTAGATCCTATATGTATTATCATTGCTAATAACAATCTAATAACTAATTTCATAGGTAGAAGAGAAAAATGGCAAAACAAAAAAGATAAAACAGAAAGACAACGATTTTGAAATCACGAACAGCACTTGGAAATTAAAGAAGAATTCAAAGAACAAAGAGGAAAAGGAATATTCAGAATTCTTTATCAAAACAGCGGTAATCGACACAGGAGGTACTAAGAATACACGAGAAACGGTTTCCGATTCCGATAATGAGGATAAGAAAGTTATAACGATGACTGATGAAGAACTGTTTGCAGCATGCCAAGGACGGACAGCCCATAAGTATGTTATATATATATATATATTTATTTTATTTATTTACTTGTAGACACATTTACAATGCATAATGAGATCTAAGATTTTTGATTTTTTCATGTAAATGAATCTAATATTTTTTTGGATATACTACACGATTTTACTTTGTGTGACACTCACATCTCATCTGCCCGTGATAATTTTTGCTGTAAAGTAGCCAATATGTCGAGAGTATGTAGCTTTTTCGTCACAAAACTTCACAATACAATTTACAGTAAACATTGACGTCCACACTAGACTAGGTCTATATTGTGGACACCGATCAGTTGATTTAGTTGGATAACAACATTTATGCCAGTTTCCTATTCTTCAAAAAGGTACAGAATGAGCTCTGATCTCCTTTGTCTATAAAATTATTAAAGTTATATGTTGTGTGTGGTAATTTCTTTAAATTTTGTATATATAATATTTTTAAGTGATGGATTTCCTCATCTATACTGACTTGTTTGAATTATCTCATTTTAATTTCATATTTTTTAATATATTAGCTTGCCTTGCCTCGGGGTTGAAAAGTATGAAATTAAAATAATTTTTATTAAATGACTGAAGAGTTAAACTAGATTATCTTTTTTCAGATATATATTTTGTAAAGTTTAAATGTATGGTATAAAAAAAAATCTTTTGTGTGATGTATTCTTAGAGTTTAATATTTTTTATGTTTTTTATTGTGTCCTAGTGTTAAAAGCCATATTCCTTGATTAGTAAATAAAAATTGTATATTTTTCCAGAGGCGCCCGTCACGGTCTACGAGCATTGGGTAAATTAGCAAGAATAGAACAACAGGAGAAGATGTTACTAAAACAAACAAAATATGAGGGATATACACACAGGAAAATGTTAGAAAAAGACATTGATACAGTGATAGAAGATACTAATCTAAATACTGATTCAATAAACAAATTTAAGAAGAAAAAGAAGAAAAAATATTGCCATAACAAAGACAATAGCAATGAAAATACTATTAATTGTGAAGAAAGTAATATTGCCAGTAAAAATAAAGAAAAATCTGAAAGCAAAGAGGATTTTATCAACTCTGATTGTGTTAATGAAGATGTAGGCAAGAAAAATAAAAGTAATAAATCTAAAAAAAGGAAATTTGTAGATGAAGCTGATGTTATTATGAAAGGCAGCGGTGAGAATAAATGCAATGCAAAAGATGATGAAATTCCAATGGTTTTGGAAGATGGTGTCGGAGAAAAGGTTATGAAGAAAAAGAAGAAACGAAAACACCAAGAATCAGATTAAATAATAAAACTTTTAAAAAATTTTACATACATATGTTTTATTTATATATTTTTCTATACTCATTTATCACCATATTAATATATTTGATTTAGTTTTAAATGGTCAGTAACTGATAGAAGATTGATATGTATCGGATGGACAGCATTTATAATTATAATCTACTAGTTAACCTAGAGAACTTCGTACCGCCCTATAATCAAGAAATATCTGTTACAAATTATCCTATAGAAACCAATGTGAAAAGCACACTAAGAAATAGTAAATGAATTATGTAAGGATTTGGTTATTATAACTCCTACCGATATATTTGTAAGAAGCATGTAAATTTGTTTAATTTTTTTTTTGTTTTAATGGCAACTACGGGAACATTACTGCCAGTGGCACATTATTTTTTCAAAAAAGTGTAATATTTTAGTATTTTCTTTTTGTAGAATTTTCGTAATTTTGTCTTCCATAAGAACCTTCTCCTAATAATAACTAATACAATAAAAAAAGAATCATTGAAATCGGTCCAGCCGTTCACGCGTTATGCCGTGACAAAGGGAAAAAGGGATTCGTTTTTATATACAGGGTGACTGGTGAATTACTATCAATATTTAAGGAGCATAGTCGGTACATGATTCTCATTCGAATTATGTAAAAAAATAGGTACTTAATTTTTGACCAAATTTCCATATAAATAAATAAAGTGTGTACACGTTCCAAGTGTTCCAAGTGTGGACGCGTGCGGTGGCGTGCTGATACAACACTACGCCGCCGCCGCGTCTGTGTGAGTGTGTGTGTATAGCTAATCTGTAGGGTGTTCATACGATGCGTAATAAATGACATAACTTTTGGCTAACTTTACTTAGAAGTTTATTAATATTTATGTTATATTAATTTTTATTTTGTCATATCTTCTTCTACCTGGCAATTTCCTAGCTATAGCCAGGGTCTGCCTTATATGTTGTGAATAGTTTTTGGCTATTTGTTTTTACGACCGGCCGCCTGCCTGACATCAACCCTCTTTTGGGAATCAACATTAATCAGTGATGTCTAAATACTCTTAGAAAGTACATATGATTCGGAAAAATCACATTGGTACTTGCCCGGGCCAGGATCGAACCCGCGCCCTCAGCGACGAGAGGCCGAGAGGCGGGCCCATTAACCACTGAGCCACCACTGACTTTTATTTTGTCATATATGATCGTCAAATATCACGTCCTCAAATATCGATAGTAATTCACCAGTCACCCTGTATAAAGATAATAAATAAATAAAAGGTACCCATTTGGTTTGAATATAGGGTATGGGTACCTTCATATCTAATATATAAAATTCTCGTGTCACAGTTTTCGTGCCCATACTCCTCCGAAACAACCTGACCGATTTTGATGAAATTTTTTGTGCTTATTCGGTAGCTATGAGAATCGGCCAACATCTATTTTTCATCCCCCTAAATGTTAGGGGTAGTCCACCCCTAAATTTTTTTTTTTATTTTTTAGACAAAATTTTTAATTACTATTTTTTTATGATACAACGTACAAAAATACATACAATCCTAAATTTTCACCCTTCTACGATCAACCCTTATTTTTTAATAGCTATTTTAGTAATTTAATCATTTTTCATCTCCGGTCGATAATTGATCAATCGTCATTTAATAAGTTATCCCCGCCAGATATCTACAGGTGTCAGTTCTGACCCAGTAAACAGCACGGAGTAGGGATGAGAACGAAGCCGGTCTTCTGTTTCTCTCACACAATTAGACTTCTCTCACTCCCTACACAGTTGTCGGCCATCGTTATTGTTTGTGCATCAAGTGTAGTAGTAACGTTGACAATTATTATATTGCTAGCTCAGTGTAACTCTCATATTAACTATTAATCATTCCTAATCACTTCAAAACACGGAGATTTATGGCTTTAATAGGTAAACTCCAAAAATATAAATAAAAAAACGTAACAGATATTTCTTGATTATAGGGCGAAACGAAGTTCGCCGGGTCTTCTAGTTTTTTTTATAAAATATACTCTTATCCCTGTTGTTCGTATTGACAAGACGATGCAAGAAGTACCCGAACAACATAAAATAATTGATTTTACAAAAGGTACCTTAAATTGATTTCACAGATTAAGAAACACGTTTATCAAGCATAAAGTATAATATCACATATTAATAAATTACTAAGATTATATTCTAATAAACTCAATTGATATTTTCAAACATAACATATTTTATTGTTTCTACTATTGCGTCCATTGAAATTCTCATTGTCAGTGTCATGTCACCTTTCATATGTCAAGTGTTGTCAAAGAAGGTCAACAATTATTTGATCGAACGAAAATAAAAATAAAATTTCGCAAAAATGTCTAATTCTATCGTCAAATTATTGGCGTTAGATAAACTATCCAACTTATTTAATATGATCAAGCAGAATGGTGGTATTAGAGGATCATTGTACAAACTTTACAGGTTATTACGTCGTTATGTAATTTTTAGTATACCTAAATATTATTATTATTATATCTCGATACTGGCAGAATATACTGTGCACTTCTTTGCACGGATGACGGCCATATTATAAAAAAAAAATAAAAAAAAAATATTGTTTATATAAGAAACTTGTGATACTCAGAAAGTACATTAGACCTCTAGAAATCATGATATTATACAGTGATAATGATAATTTTCATCCAAAATATAACTATTTTCAGGCAAGAAGAATTGAAAGACGGTGTTTTAGTTGGTGAAGATGAATTAGGCAACAAGTACTACGAGAATCCTCGTTACTTCTATGGCAGGAATCGTTGGGTGGAATACAATGATAAAGCTTACTTGGACTACGATGGAAGCCAAGTGAGTAACTTAAGACAGCTATATACAATACAAGTAATTAACAGATTTGGTTTGGTAGAGAGAGGAGCTTGGACGGTGGAAGTGAGCGTTAAACGCATTAGATAGTGTCTCTTAAACCTACACTTGGGTCGCAAGTCCCAGTCACTGTTGAAGGTCCTCTCACTACAACGATGGACCCGACACACGCACCGTGAATACATGGAATGATGAGAAGTTTAATCTCTATACAGGGTGACTGGTGAATTACTATCGATACTTGAGGACGTGATATTTGACGATCATATATGACAAAATAAAAATTAATATAACATAAATATTAATAAACTTCTAAGTAAAGTTAACCAAAAGTTATGTAATTAATTACGCATCGTGTGAACACCCTACAGATTAGGTATACACACACACACACACATACGCGTCCACACTTGGAACACTTGGAACGTGTCAACACTTTATTTATTTATACGGAAATTTTGTCAAAAATTAAGTGCCTATTTTTTTTACACAATTCGAATGAGAATCATGTACCGAGTATTCTCCTTAAATATTGATCGTAATTCACCAGTCACCCTGTATATGAAACTTATTTATGAAAAAAATGATGAGAGGTTTTATTATGCCATAATGTAAACTTTATATACCTATAAAACTAATTGATTGAAAAACAAACAATTCATAAGAATGTTATAAGAATGAGAAATGTTATATTTTTTAGGTTACCGCTGAGTGGTACGGCTGGCTTCATTACAAAACTGATCTTCCACCCCATAAGGTAAATAACTGTAAAAGTAATAAGCAAAACAAAGTTATTATAAATCTAACTCTCTTTTTGTTATTAAATTAATTCTCCTTTGTGTTCCACTATTATTTACCATGTCTAATACATTGGTACAAGGTAGAAGATAGAACCGTTATTAATAAATCTCTTTAAATTTATTTCCATATAAATAAAAGTAAACATATTAAATTAATAATTATAGCACATATATACTAAAAAATATCTATAATTAGCAATATACAGTAGGACCCCGATTATCCGGACCTCGGTTATCCGAATTCGCGATTATCCGGACTGCCAATCGCGACGAGTTTTTTTCGGAATGGTCGAGTTCCCGTAGAATTTTCAGGATAAAACCTATATTTTTTTTAATTCACAATGAAATACTCTTAACCAACAACTTATTTATTTGTTTATTTGAATAAAGATTAATATTATTAAGATTAATATAATGTTGATACAACTTAAACAAATTATTTCGACCAAATTAGATACCATAAAAACGGTTTTTGTGAGTTAATCTTAAAAGATAGACATATACTGTCGCGGACTGCTTTTTAGATTATTAAAAGAGCTATTAATCTTTAAAACATATTTTTTGTGTGTATCTTGAACCGTTTTCACGGCGCACCCAACGGAAGTCTTCAAAGATGAAATAAAATCTCCCGATTTTTACACATTTACCACTATATCTTTGTTCCTATTGGTCGTAGCGTAATGTTATATAGTCCACAGCCTTCCTCGATAACTGGACTACCCAACACAAAAAGAATTATGCAATTCTAACCAGTAGTTTCGGAGATTAGCGCTTTCAAACAAACAAACAAACTCTTCAGCTTTATAATATTAGTATAGATATGCAAAAAGCCCGTTTTTCTTCATGTATTGGATTATCCGGACTTTCAATTATCCGGATGCCTACCGACAACAATTAGTCCGGATAATCGAGGTCCTACTGTACTTCAATTATTTGTTCTATTGAGATTTAAATATATTTTCATATTTATTTAATACATAAAGTCTTTATAAAATTATAATATAATTCATTAATTTATTATTTTTAAGTACCTTTGAATGTCAAAACACATAGAATACAATAATTATAGATCCATTACTAACTACAAGTAGAAATAACAGAAAATAAATATTAATTAAAACAAGGGACTCTATTTAATACACATTTTAATGATTTGTAACACTACCGGTACACTCATAACAGAAGATTATATACTATAGTTTGGAGTAGTACTTGATCACTTATCAAATATTTTAAGATATTTATGGAGTTATATTCATCTTTATACATATTCCAAGAGAATCCAAATTCATCCAAGAATCAAGATCACATAATATTTAAGCAGTGCCACAATTTTCGTATGCACAAAATCTAAATAAATTAGTATATTGTAGATTTTGTAAATATCCAAAACTGGTTTCAATAATATTTCTATACACTTTATATTCATAATTATCTACTATGTTATATATTTGAATAATAAGTTATAATATTCATCTACCTTTTTCTCAGGATCCCAGCCGTCCCAAATACAAATGGATGGCCGAGTTCACTGAAAATATGTCTGGAACCACCGGCCAATATGTACCATACAGTACAACTCGCGAGAAAATTGAACCATGGGTACCAAAACAGAAAAGCAGCGCCTAAAAAACTACATCTCGAACAAAATTCTTTATTTTTTGGCATTAAAACCTCCTTTTTCAGATTTCGGCGCCAATTAATGACATTTAAAGTGCATTGCAACTTGTCATAGTTTAGTTTTAAGTAGAAAATGAAATAAAATCTTGTTTTATTTATGACTTTAGTTTCATTTTTATTTTTAAGTATTTTAAAATTATTAAGTGAGTCATTGAACATGATAAGTTTAAAATATATTAATCTACAACTTAAATATTAGTAGATAAATTTTTCTATGATCTGTTTTTACTATACATTCTTTTCTATTACCAAATTGACATTTAGTAATTGTTTAATACATCCATCTAGCACACAAAATTAGTAATTCTTTATATTAAGCCATAAAAAATTAAGGTAAAATATATATTTAGAAGTATATAAAACGATGGTATATTAAATACGTATTAAAAATCACTATTTCAGACACAGGTATCGAAGAATATAGGGGTCAAAATTTTAATTATATATATTAATAAAAAGTTTCTATACCAATTACATAACGTATCTGTTATTTGATTTATAATAAGTAACGTCCCAAACTAGATAATCGAAATCAGTTAATTCATGTTAAAATTGGGGCCTGCTATTTTATTTCTCCGTAGAAACCAGTTTTGGCTACGGGTCCTGTCCAGTGGTTGTCAAATATTTATAATCACCGTATTTCTATGACTTTTAAATTATTATTAATAATAATTTATATGATGTTAAGATAAACTCGAATATAATACGACATTAATTTTTGTTATAAATTACTCGTAAGTAAACATTATTTAAATGTCTTATTTAATAGTTTTTTCAATTGGTTTTACAATCAAGGTTATCAACTTTCATCTCAAAACTCCACATGTAATTCTTTACATATTAAATAAGTTTCATTTTGTTCTTAAATCAAAACTTATTATAAAGATTGAGAGCCTTTGGCATGAAACAACTGCCCACGATATACGTACAAACGCATAAATGGAGGCTTGAGCTTTTGATTGTAGCTTCATACTAATTTAAACCTTATACTAATTTAAATAAAGTCAATTTTCAATTAAAGTAATATTCCAAAATGGCCACACAGATGCATTCATTACATTCATACGACTTAATACCTTATACTAAAGTAATAAGGTACATTATTGACTGTAGTATATGGTGGCAAAGGAACGAACTTTTTTCTCTTGACAGGTAAAAATATCTTGACTCCACAGTCAAAGCGCGACGCGGTCCGCGTCACCACGATACAAATAATAATTGGCGTTTATTAAAACTTTGTGATATTGTTTAGTTTATACAATATGTTGAAATGTTGTAGTGAGTGACGCGCATGCGTTGGTTCAAACATAGTTTGTTGGGAAAATGCCACAGTTATTCGAGTAACGACTTAGTAAGGTGGGTTGAAATTGTTATTTCTGTTTATACTATGAAGTTACTAATGATTAATATTACTATTAATTATATAGTGATTTGTTTAAAAAATATGGATGTATCTATAATTATATAGACGCCGTTATTTCAAAAATGTTAAAAAAAACTTTAAATGTTCTTAAGTGATGAAAAACAATGACAATAATTGTTAAGTACATTAGTTATTTGTTTGTTGAACTTCAAACGACTGTTACTTCTAGATTTTGGCATTTTAATAGTTTTTTTTAAACTTAGGAAACTTTCGTCTTTACAAAGCAATTCTTCAATTAAAAACGCTAATAAATGTATTTAATTCTTTTTAATTTTATAACTAAATAACAAACGTACAAGTATTCACTCATTTTTAATACGAAATATGTTATAATTACATAATGGGTCCACTTAGGTTTGTACAATGGGGTTAAGCTATAAAAGGCAAGAATTAACCTTTTGGCATCCTCTCACCTCAATACAAGTGTTGCCACGGTATAAGTAATTCACACCCAAAAATATTGGAAATTATCACCACGACCGCTTGTAAAATTTATACGACGATTTTCAATATTAATTATTTTATAAAAAGAATAATGCATATGTACTATTATTATATATATTTAAGCGGGAATTCTTGTTAAAACAGGCAGGCATTTTGAGAGAATACACAAGTAGTTACAGATAAGTAACCAGTTATTTCGTTTCTTTTTTTGGTCATACCGTAGACAATGCGTTACAATGGACATTTGATACGAATCTGATTGTTTTACTGTTATTTTAATTGGGTCTTAACAAATAGTTTTGTTTTGCATTCATCTGATCCACATAACTATAGCGTCAAGACTGGCTGGGTTTAAAGCATTTTTCCAACGTTAAAAAGAAGGTTTAATATAATATATTAGTTAACCAGAAATAAATATATATAGTTCTTATAACGAAAACAATATAAACAAAAATATAGATAAAATATAGTAAGGATCATAGATTAAAAATAAAATCGCAACATTCCGTCAAAATCTTGAAAAATATAAAATTCGAAGCCAACAAAATTGCGTGTAATCTTATATTAAACACATGACACATGATTGATAAACTCCTCGACCGGTCCCACAGATATCAAATAAAGCTGTTAGTTAGCGCGGAACTAATTGCTAGGTCATTGTCGTTGGACGATCGATTAATATTTATGGATTTACCGATACATGTATATCTACAACACTATTTTTACCGTTGTTTATGGAATGTACACATCACTAGTTTATTTTACTTTTCATGTGAATAGAAGTTTATTGTTCATTAATAAATATTTAGTCAGAATGAATTGAATGTAGATGCTAAGTACGTATTTGTTCCGCCATTTTTATCTATTAAAAAACTGAAGAGATTTCACGGGTTTTTTAAACTTGTTGCCTCATAAAAACTAATTTTATACTGTTTTGATACTGAAATTTGTGAAAAAAATATTGTAGTAAGCATTATTAATATTATAATCGCGAAATATTGTGTGTATTTAATTTGTTTGTTACCTCAAACTGATAGTTGCTGAATGGATTTTGATATAACTTAACTATTATATAGCTTAATAACACGATATTATAGGGTCCACTTCTTATCTATGTTTCGCATAGTTCCCCCAAGAAGACAGCCTAACTGTGTTATACCGTATGAAGTTACCAGATTCATGGCGATAGATGGCGTTAGTAGAGCATTATCATATTATCCTAATAATATTATAATTGCAAAAGTTTGTGTGTGTGTATGTTTGTTACTTCTTCACGCTCAAACGGCTGAACCGATTTTTATAAAATTTTGTATACAGGAAGCTGACGTCCAGGAATAACATATAGGCTACTTTACATCCCGGAAATACGCGGGTAACACCGCGGGGTGCAGCTAGTATATATACAGGGTGACTGGTGAATTACTATCAATATTTAAGGAGAATACTCGGTACATGATTCTCATTCGAATTATGTAAAAAAAAATAGGTGCTTAATTTTTTACCAAATTTCCGTATAAATAAATAAAGTGTGTACACGTTCCAAGTGTTCCAAGTGTGGACGCGTGCGGCGGCGTGCTGATACAACACTACGCCGCCGCCGCGTCTGTGTGAGTGTGTGTGTATACCTAATCTGTAGGGTGTTCATACGATGCGTAATTAATTACATAACTTTTGGTTAACTTTGCGTAGAAGTTTATTAATATTTATGTTATATTAATTTTTATTTTGTCATATATGATCGTCAAATATCAAGTCCTCAAATATCGATAGTAATTCACCAGTCACCCTGTATATATATATACCTTTAAAATTTATCATTGGTCTTTAACTCAACATAGTAAAGTCGCATGTAAAATTTACTATGTATATTATTTGAAGTCCAGTCGTAGGCTTAAAAATGAAGGTAAAATAGATAATATTTATTTCTGATAAAGAGTTATTTCTTGTAATATAAACTAGAAAAGGATTCCACAGCATATATAGCTCGAGTTACAAGTTATGTGGCAAACTGCTAGATCATACTGAATATGTATATTGTATTACAATCTAATATATTTTATTACACTACCAAAGAGTTCTCTCATGAAAAAGGTTTTATGTTTTTTTATCTGTACTGAAATATTTCGGGAATGTTTCTAAGTTCTAAAGTATAATTTTAAGCTGAATATTGTATGTAGGATATGTAATTATGGGTTGTATGCACTTTTACATGTTACTAGCTTTCCGTCCGCAGCTTCGCCCGCGTGTAGTTCGGTTATATCGCGTTTCCAAGAGAACCTTTCAAAAGTTTATGATAAAAACTATCCTATGTTCTTTCTCAAGGTCAACTCTATGTCTGTACCAAATTTAATTAAAATCAATTCAGTGGTTTAAGCGTGAAAGTGTAACAGACAGACAGAATTACTTTCTCATTTATAATATTAGTAGGGATTCCTTGGATAGAAATATACGTAACAGTTATTTTGTCATTGTTTCCACTTACATATTTTAAACGCAATTCGACGATCCCAAACCACATGTTTTAGATCTGTATTCTTCAAATTATATAACAAAATTATTGTATACGTACAATATTAAAGTTTACAAATTACGTAATAATTTTGTCCTTGGACGGAGATTTCGTTAATAAAATAATTAAATTGTTTGTCAAAGAACATTCGAATTGTTTTTCAGTTAGCCGCCATTGTTAAAAAGGATATTACAATTGATAAATTACAAATTGATTTATGAGTGTGTGGGAGTTATGTTATACAGGGTGACTGGTGAATTACTATCGATATTTGAGGACGTGATATTTGACGATCATATATGACAAAATAAAAATTAATATAACATAAATATTAATAAACTTCTAAGTAAAGTTAACCAAAAGTTGTGTAATTAATTACGCATCGTGTGAACACCCTACAGATTAGGTATACACACACACACACACACACTCGCGTGCGGCGGTGTGGTGTTGTATCAGCACGCCGCCGCACGCGTCCACACTTGGAACACTAGGAACGTGTCCACACATTATTTATTTATACTGAAATTTAGTCAAAAATTAACTACCTATTTTTTTTACATAATTCGAATGAGAATCATGTACCGAGTATTCTCCTTAAATATTGATAGTAATTCACCAGTCACCCTGTATATCTTCGGCCATGTTAAGAAATACGTCAAATAAACTTCAAAATGACGTTGACGTTTTTGTTTCATAAATTAGGCAGCTATTTGAATTTATTACGATTTTAATATACCAAGAAGTTTTTATGTATATTGGCAGTGCAATTTTGAATACTTATGTATTATATCTTGAGTTAATAAAATGTAAATACAATTTGATAGTACATTCATTATAATTAATATGTTTACATGTTTATTTAAAATTTTCGAATAGTTTCAAATGAATGAAATTTAACGTATGCGACACCATTTTGTTAATTGATGCTAAGTGCTAACTTTAAATTATATATATTTGACCCCACTTGAGGCGTTATATTATGACCTAGATTTACCCGTGACTTCATTTGTTTGAAATTACTCTAGTACTTGTACCAAATTCGTGTATTAAATTTAGTGGAAATAACCCGATATAATATTTTATATGCATAACAAATCAAATACATAATGTTACCATATTTAATATCTTAAATTGATTCAGTTAATTAATATATTCTGTGTTACCTCTTTTATATCAAAAGCGAAATTTAATTATATGTTCATTGTTATTAAGCTTCATAAATTTAATTGAATTAATCAAACATTAAAATATTTGCTCAAGAATTTTGATAAAAACCACAAATCTGTCTTTGGTATATAAAACTTCAACTCCTAGTAAAAGTTAGATTTTCAAGTTCTAACCTTAGTTACACTTTAAAGGAAATACACTAAATTGCGAGTATATTATATATTTTTATTTAAATTTAAACATTTGATGTTGTATTGTTAAGTTAAAACGAAATGTATGACACAAAAGTAACAAAGTACATATAAATAAATTGCGTTCTCATGAATATGGAATAGAAAGTAAAACAAAGGTCATATTAACTTATTAAATTTTAATTAACTATAGTTTTTCTTCGAAGTGATGTAAAAACAAATTGATGAAAACTATCCCATAAATTACCGATAAAAAACCGATAATCTACATCGATGTATGGTACATCACTATTATTATTACAATTGGTTACAGCACTATATAGCCTTAAGGCACTTCACTTGGCGTTTATTTGTTGTGTTCGAAATTAAACCATGTGTGGATGAGTTATTCGTCGTCATTTGACATTTGCACAAATAATATACACAAATAAACGAAAACGTATAGACATGTTGTGATGCCAAGTGTGGATGTAGTGTTTGCGTTATTTGGACTACGTACAAATATTTGGACAAATGCAGCGAATACTTTACTTCATAAAACTTAATATGAGAATTGTCAAATACAAATTGCATAGCTATCAATTGTGTGACATTTACAGCTGTCAAAAGTTTGACATAGTATTATCTATTCATATTGTTATTTATGTATAGACTAGAAGACCTGGCGAACTTCGTATCGCCCTATAATCAAGAAATATCTATTACGTTTTGTTATTTATATTTTTGGAGTTTACCTGTAAGCCATAAATCTCCGTGTTTTGAAGTGCGACAGAATGATTGACATATTAGTTAGTTATAAAATCTAATGTCAAAAAAACGTTTGTATGGGAAATAGAAAAGGGCTGTTTTTATGGTTTTCCCAGTAATTAATCAATTTTTTTCAGCTTTTATACCTTCCCTGAACCTCCACGAACATTTCAAGACTAAGATAAGATAAATCCGTTCAGCTGTTCTCGAGTTTTAGCGAGACTAAGGAACAGCAATCCATTTTTATATATATAGAAGATAATAAAAAAAATGAATTATCTTCCTCAGTCTCTATTTTGTCGGAATTCGTCGGAATATTCATTCGATTCCCTCAGTCCGTTTTCGTATTGTGTAAGTTATGTAAGTGACCCCGTATCTACCTGCTTGCAAAACACACTTTCTAAAACTCATTGGATTCGTCATGACAATTTTTTATATATCACAAAGGTTTTTGGACATAGATGGTGGTTTTTGCGTTGTCCTTTAGATAAATGGTATACTGCTAATTTTTTTCTATAATATATTGGAGTAATTGGTGCAAAAAGTTTCCAGTTTCGTAGGTTCTTAAGAGAACCTTTTAAAGTGATGTTTTTAATATAACGATAAATAAAGTTCGAGAGACAAATGATATAAGACATTCGTTTTGTATATTTAACTATTCACAACTGCCGATTGTAATGCGACATGCAATAGATAGACGAAAAATATCACTTTAATAACAATTACCACACACAATTATTAATAGATAGATATTAAAGCTAATGTATGTCCATTGTTATTAAAAACAGATTTTATAAGAAATATATTCTTTATTAACTACCTTACTTTTGATAATTATATTCTAATACATGTGGGAATATTCATCTGATTAGAAAAACCTTATTTGTTATCAAGACAAATATTAAAAAGTGACACACAAGTACTAAATATGAATAAATTAATTATTAATGTTATTTATCTTTACAATTTTTATTACGAATTATGTACTTCTCAAGTAACTATTATTTAGTTAAACATGAGATTGTCATATTTAATATGATAAAGTTATAAAAATTACTATGGAAATTAAATTGTTACAGTAAAATCGTCTTTCTGATAGCCAAATTGTAATTAAATGATTAATTATGATGTTAAAATCTTCCTTAAAATAATTCTATGCCCATTCGTCATTTCTTCGACAAAGAAAACATTCCATGATCTATGGTTAGCTCTGGAATCCAGGAATATCTATAATTTATCTTCCAGCATTCCAATATCTATGGAACAAGTTTTTATTTAACAGATAACATATACGGATCTACGTAATGTTAATAATTTATTATATATAATTGATGCCTTTTTCTTAGCTCTTTTATATATATAAAAAAAAATATAAATATATATCTGTAATGTAAAATGAGTTATTAATATTACTAATGTTGCCATATCTATGATACTTGTTTCAATGTAATGGCAACACAGCGTTTTGATTGAATGATCGCGGTCGTCGCCCCCTAAAAGCGGTTTGTCAACAAACGTTCCGTGGGAGTTTTTGATGCGAATTAAATCATGAACAATTGACTGTCTTCTAATTGTCTTATAATATAACACTAGCATACGCTCGGTTCACGCCGAGTAAACAAATACAAAAGATTTTTATTCCAATTTCAAAATAAATAATAAACTTTTCTTTTATTTTATAAATAAATGACTGGCCATTATTTTCTTATAGCAAACCGTTTAAAAAAAAAAACAAACTTTATTGAGCGTTTAAATTTAGAATGTAAAATAAATTGAACTATTAGACAAAACTGTAGAGGTCACTGTTTGTTCGTATTCATATAGCTATGACCCTTTCTTAGAAATGAATGAAATACCCAATTAGGTGCATTAACAGATGTTAGTGCAATAATACATACCACATGCCCCGTCATCTGCCGGACGTGCGGTCAGCTGATAAAGTTCATTCAAAATTTTACCGCTGCTGCTTGGCTGTATGTTGAATGCCTTTTTCAATCACGTATGTGAAGAATGTATTGAAAATGGCGGCAAAATCCCGCTTTTTTTTATTTGTCAAAACACTTTTATTATTAAAAATTATTTGTTTAAAGTATGTATATGAGTTCAAAGTTAATTTTGTTAGTGTTATTGTGATTATATTAAAGTTTTCTATACAATTTTCGCGTTATTGTATATAATTAAAGTAATTTGTACTGTATATTACCTACTATTGAATTTATAACCGCTGTTTATAGTTTATACGTATTCATGTGAAAGTTATGGCTATTGTTTTATACACTATAATCAAGAGTTGAAAAACTATAGTGCGTTTTAATCTCAGGTAATTAAATCCCGAATTGAAATTTTATACATAAAGTGTCTTGTTAGTTATGCTAAGATATTTACGTAAATTTCGCAAGATAGTTTCCAAAAGTCATAATAATGGTAATAACTCATTTAACTATCGTTATATACATGTATATACTAGCTTTCCGCCAGCAGCTTCGCCCGCGTGGAGTTCGGTTATATCGCGTTTCCAAGAGAACTTTTCAAAAGTCTGTGATAAAAATTATCCTGTTCTTTGTCAAGGTCAACTCTATGTCTGTACCAAATTTCATTAAAACCAGATCAGTGTTTTAGGCGTGGAAGCGTAACAGACAGACAGAGTTACTTTCGCATTTATAATTTTAGTAGAGATTGATTAAATTCATGTTTATTATAGCCAATATGTCGCTGGCGGAGGTACGTTCAGCGAGGAGCTCACCAGCTCCGGAGTCCTGCCAGTGTGACGTCATCGATGCTTCCGCCTCCGTCACCTCGGATATACACAAGGTATGTAATATATATAAATAATATAACAAATATAAGAAATTGTGTCCTAAGTTGAGAAAAATTAATATATCCACAAGTAACAAAGTATTTATTAATCGATTTCAAAAAGTATGTTATATCCTTAACTAATGTACATATGTCCGTAATTTCTTAAATTCTTTAGATGATTTTTGAAGACAAATTTAAAATATTTAAATGAAACTCACATTTCGTCTGTTAGTTAAAAAAATTAGATTCATTTAAATGAATAAGACTTGCGAAAATCTTAGATGTCAAATTTAAAATACTTTATATATATTTCTATTTCCAGTATCAGGTAGCATGTACATGCAAGCCGGGCTCCGTACAGTATGCCAGCGCGGACGAGCCCGGGCCTTCGCCCCCCGTCAAGACAGACACACCGCCAGCCCTGCCGCCCAGACCAACCACCACGCTCGCCGCTAATAGAAGAAATAATTGTAATATATACATAACACCTTTACTCTTATACATATTAATTATCAGCTTATATGTTTCAGGGATATCTGACAGACAAACATATTAAAAAGAATCGTATATATATGTATGTGTATTTATGTATTCAGTATATAATAAGCACGCTTCAATACTATTTAAGTATTCGTTGATATTTTTACGTAATTTTTAAATAAAATTTAACCACGTTTATTATTATTTTATCGTTTTTCTACTCTTCATTACAATACTTATTTCATCCTTAAATAAAAATTACCTACTTATCGTGTTTGTATTAAACTCTACACTAATTAACGAAAAAATATAGAAACATACGTAAAACAACATATAAAACAACTATATTCAATATAAAATCTAAGTACTACTACACAATTCAGACTTCAAAAGAGTTTCTGTATCGAAAATAATATTTCTATAACCCACCTTAATAAATTTAAATTACTTAAATCGTAACAAAAATCTTCACCGTGAAATTCGTTCAAAATTCTAATACTAACAGATCTATAGAAATTACAAAGAATACAAACAGGTGTAGCGAAAGATTCCCACGCAAAATAATCTTTACATGAAAAGAACCTTATATTTGACAATGTCTGGTAACCCGTCTTTGTGTAAGATTTATACCTGATTTCTTAGAATCATCTAACAATACGTCATTTCTAAACTAAATCCTTGCAAACGATCATTTTAAAATATACTCAAAACATAAAAGAAATAATTAAAATAATATGATTTAGTCTAAATATTGATTATTCAAAAATCACGACGTAATAAAAAACCTAAAGCTGCGTACAAAATCTATGATCAGCCATAATTCCTTCAATACTCTACCTGTGTGGCGCGTACTGGCTACTGCTTCTGCGCGGAACACTTCTAACACAATAGTATAACCTACTTCGTTGTAACAGCACAAAACATCGAAATTTACAAATATATAAATTAAATAATATTAAATTAATAATTTAAAGAAAACAACGTAAAACAATAAAACATAATATACAATATGGCGATTGACAAATAAACGATTGGGAGGGAAAAGTGACAATTCAGTGATTTGATCAAAATGAATTAATATTACATTTAATATACGTTTCTTTATTAAATAATTGAAATTGTGTGTGAGTTTAATTCATTTAAAACATCAGTGTTTTTGTTTATAAGGTCATTGTGCTTGTAATAAATATCGATTATATAAAGTGGCGCGTATTTCGAAGTTATTTGACAAGTTGGTTGTAATAAGTTTTATAATTTATTGTTAATTAAAATAATGGCGTCGTTTATTATTGTGTTATTAATATAATGTCTGCGTGTGATGTGATGCAAGTACAATATCAAGTATCGACTCCCCAGTCAACTATCGCGGCGGATGTAGCACAACATTATATACCGCCTCCGCCTTATTTTGGTAATTTATTAATGTTCTTCAATAAAATTTCAATATTAAGTCAATAGAATATGGCATACTCTTAAAAAACACTTAACACAAATATTAACAAATAATAACATTCATTTTTTACTAACTTATTTTTGTCTTAAATTATACATAGGTGTATATATACATATATGTATTTATATATTTTGAATATTTAACTAAGAAAGCATTAATTCATTAATTTAATAATTTATATTGCTTAATTATTTTATTATAATTATATATTTATATACACTACACACAAATCTTTGAGACCACCCCTATAAAAGAATGAAAATTATATATATAATACTATAGGATTGAAAGTTATACATATATATATAAACTTTATCTTTAATCACTTCTAGCTGCCGTTGGTTGTTCAAGTGAGCCACAATGCCGTCGCAGGAAGTATGCTTGGTGGTGTTGCGGCTGTGGAGCCCTAGCGGCCGCTCTCGGTGGACTCCTCGCAGCACAGCATATTCTCCTCCGAGCATACACAGCATCACCACATCACTTGGAGACTGTACCTGCTGCGGTTCCAGCAGCTATGGTAGATATATGAGACAAATATGTTTTTATATGTATATAAATATATTTTTATATGTATATGTATATATATATATATATATAAAAACATGCTGAGTTTCTATCGCTGGTTATTCTCAGGTCGGGATATTTTCTTTTCCGAACTGGCGGTAGTGTCTCAAGTGACCATCAATAATAAAGTGTAATGCTTCTATATTTAATGAAGTTATTTGAGTTTGAGTTTGAATTTATATCTACTTATATATGTATATATGTAGAAATAATATTAAATGTTTTATGTATGTGATAATTAAGACATTTATGTATGTTCATTAATACATATAAGTTAGGAAAATGTTAGAATTTATTTTTAACCCTTTAACAGTCATAAGGAGTGGACAGTGGAAAAAATAAAATTGATGATGGTTAAGGGTATATAATAGAAGTAAAAACATATGTATATATAAATATGTATTTGTCAAATTGTCTATTGACAATCATAAAAGTTGTCTGAATAAAAAAATATGACTGGTGTACAAAATTTTGGTTTAAAAAAAATAAAAGCATGGTGATGAAAATATCGCCTCTTATCTTATAAAGTGTTAAAGGTAATTCAATCAATAAATAACTACAAAAACTTAAATTTTTTTTATTTGTTTAATGTATTTAATGTAATAAATATTAAGTGAAATACAAACTGAAAAATGTACAAACTATTTATATACTTATATATAACTTGTTAATTCTATGGTCATAATTAATTTTGGTAGGATTTTTTTTAAAACCCAGTTATAAATTTATATGTTACTCACATAGTGATCTCAAACTTTATATGCTCTCATTATCTCACATAGTATGTTGAAATTTCACTGTAGCCTACAAAATGATAATAAAAGTAATATCTTAGATATTAAGTAATAATATGTTGTTTTCACAGTTGGTGTTAACAGGAGTGTGTATAATGAGTCTGGCTCGTCGGAGGAACAGATACAGCTACATGGTAAGAAAAGTAGGTTCACAACAAATACTAGGCATGTTACTGTATATACAGGGTGACTTTTCATCCTTACACTGTATATACAGGATGACTATTCAACCTCATACTCTATATATATACTAGCTTTCCGCCCGCAGCTTTGCCTGCGTCGAGTTCGGTTATATCGCGTTTCCAAGAGAACCTTACAAAAGTCTGGGATAAAAACTATCCTATGTTCTTTCTCAAGGTCAACTCTATGTCTGTACCAAATTGCATTAAAATCAGTTCAGTGGTTTAGACGTGAAAGCGTAACAGACAGACAGACAGAGTTACTTTCGCATTTATAATATTAGTAGGGATGGCTATTCATCCTCATACTTTATATACAGGTGAGAGTTATCTAAATTTATACTTATTACCTTATACTTAAAAATACTTTGTTTTTCTTTTTTTTATACATATGTATTCACAAGTAATATTATATGTTTTCTCTTAATATTAATAATGATCAATATTCTTATTATATTTTCAGATCAAAGTTGTGGGCGCTTGTTGTTTGGTCTGCGCACTCACGTGTGTGTTGGTGACAATAACTACTACGGTTATACACATGAATAAGTTAGTATATATTAAATATACATATATGTTATTAAAACATTGTGGCTAGAGTTGAAAATATATGGTCAGTTAGAAGATATTGTGGTTAAAGAGAGTATTTTTTAATGTATATATATTTTTTGTAAATTTGAAAAGATCAGTTTATAGGTTGTATGTAAGCATAATATAAAAATAGTTTAAATTTCACACAAATTATTGTTAAAGTGAAAGAAAATTTTAATTGTAATATACATTTAAATAATTTTTATTATATAAGTGTGTTTTATAATCATTACTAGCTTTCCGCCCGCAGCTTCGCCCGCGTGGGGTTCGGTTATATCGCCTTTCCAAGAGAACTATTCAAAAGTCTGGGATAAAAGCTATCCTATGTTCTTTCTCAAGGTCAACTCTATATGTAATAAATTTCATTAAAATCAGTTCTGTGGTTTACGAAAGCGTAACAGACAGACAGAGTTACTTTGGCTTTTATAATATTGGTAAGGATGAACAATCAATCAATCAGAATATTAATATTTATATATTTTATTTGTTTAGACTACAAACCCTCAAGTTCTGTGAGTACACCAAGTTGACCAGAACATGTACCTGTTTCTCAATGTCTCCGGACAGTCACACCAGCGATGATGATGGTAAGTTAGAAACTATTCTATACAAGAATAAGTCACGACTTTGTTTGTGCAGTTTATAATTAATTTAGATAAATTATGTGCTTTATAATATATAGAAGTGTACCAACTTCAGCGCCATCTATTATCTTTGTTGTGTAATTAATACAACTGTTATTATGTGTATCTTAACTACATGTAAAGAATAAATATATATTATATAATATTATATTATATATTATTAATTATTAATTTATATGTCTGACGCGAATTTATGGGGAGATTGATAAATGATAAGAATTCGTTTAATAGTTTTTATATGAAGCTTTAAGAATATGATTATACTAAGGCTATATTATCTTTTGCAGTAAAGTATCGAGAAGTAGAATACTAAATATTGTCTAAATAAGCAAAATTGTGCACGGAGTCCCTTAGAGCGAAAGCATTGAAACTTCGTAATTTTGAAAAGAATACAGTGAGGAGTAGAAATTGATTTTCAAGGATTTTTTTGTGTTTCTTTAAGACAAACTTTACTAACATTACTTACAAGTCACTATAGACACGCACTCCCTCTCGCTATTTCTCTTTTTATCTCCTTCATTAGCGTTAAACGTTTAACGCAACCATGTTGGAAGTGGCATAAGAACTATCACTTCAATAAACTGAACATTTTTTTTACACAATATCTTCATTGTAATTATAAACATTTGCCAAATTATTCTGGGAGTACTCAATCAAGTTCATAAAATTTTGCTAAAATTTATTTAGTGCTGGTGGTTTGTTAAACCATATTTAATTAGTTACTATTGATAAGTATATACTGAAATTTAAAAGTACTGTCAAATGAAAATTAAACCAAATTTTCGGATTGCTACGTGTTATTAGATTATTATTATTAAATATAAGGCAGCTATAGTAGGTTCTTGTCAAATGGTGTGAGGTGAGAGGAGCTTGGACAGTGGAGGTGAGCGTTTAACGCACATGAGTTACCCTTAAACCTACACCTGGGTCACAAGTCCCAGTCACTGTTGAAACTCCTCTCACTACAACGATGGACCCGACACACGCACCGTGAATACATTGAATGATGAGAGGTTTCGTCTCTCTATATATATTAAACCTACACCTGGGTCACAAGTCCCAGTCACTGTTGAAACTCCTCTCACTACAACGATGGACCCGACACACGCACCGTGAATACATTGAATGATGAGAGGTTTCGTCTCTCTATATATATTAAACCTACACCTGGGTCACAAGTCCCAGTCACTGTTGAAACTCCTCTCACTACAACGATGGACCCGACACACGCACCGTGAATACATTGAATGATGAGAGGTTTCGTCTCTCTATATATATTAAACCTACACCTGGGTCACAAGTCCCAGTCACTGTTGAAACTCCTCTCACTACAACGATGGACCCGACACACGCACCGTGAATACATTGAATGATGAGAGGTTTCGTCTCTCTATATATATTAAACCTACACCTGGGTCACAAGTCCCAGTCACTGTTGAAACTCCTCTCACTACAACGATGGACCCGACACACGCACCGTGAATACATTGAATGATGAGAGGTTTCATTTCTGCCTCCAGGTGTCCGCTGTGTGTTCGAGGGCGTGTCTGACTGCGGCGTGGTTCACGGCGCGTTGTACTGGTGTCTGCGCGGAGTGTTCGCGCTGTCCGTGTCCGCGGTGCTCGTGTGCATCTTCAGCTGCATGCTGGCCTATCAATTGTTGAGGTGAGTGTGGTGAACTTACAGTATAGAGTGAGTAACGTACAGTATAGAGTGAGTAACGTACAGTATAAAGTGAATAACATATAGTATAGAGTGAGTAACGTATAGTATAGAGTGAGTAACGTATAGTATAAAGTGAATAACATATAGTATAGAGTGAGTAACGTATAGTATAGAGTGAGTAACGTATAGTATAGAGTGAGTAACTTACATTATAGAGTGAGTAACGTATAGTATAGAGTGAGTAACGTATAGTATAGAGTGAGTAACGTATAGTATAGAGTGAGTAACGTATAGTATAAAGTGAATAACATATAGTATAGAGTGAGTAACGTATAGTATAGAGTGAGTAACTTACATTATAGAGTGAGTAACGTATAGTATAGAGTGAGTAACGTATAGTATAGAGTGAGTAACGTATAGTATAGAGTGAGTAACGTATAGTATAAAGTGAATAACATATAGTATAGAGTGAGTAACGTATAGTATAGAGTGAGTAACGTATAGTATAGAGTGAGTAACTTACATTATAGAGTGAGTAACGTATAGTATAGAGTGAGTAACGTATAGTATAAAGTGAATAACATATAGTATAGAGTGAGTAACGTATAGTATAGAGTGAGTAACGTATAGTATAGAGTGAGTAACTTACATTATAGAGTGAGTAACGTATAGTATAGAGTGAGTAACGTATAGTATAGAGTGAGTAACGTATAGTATAGAGTGAGTAACTTACATTATAGAGTGAGTAACGTATAGTATAGAGTGAGTAACGTATAGTATAGAGTGAGTAACGTACAGTATAGAGTGAGTAACGTACAGTATACAGGGTGACTGGTGAATTACTATCGATATTTAAGGACGTGATATTTGACGATCATATATGACAAAATAAAAATTAATATAACATAAATATTAATAAACTTCTAAGTAAAGTTGACCAAAAGTTATGTAATTAATTACGCATCGTATGAACACCCTACAGATTAGGTATACACACACACACACAGACGCGGCGGCGGCGTAGTGTTGTATCAGCACGCCGCCGCACGCGTCCACACTTGGAACACTTGGAACGTGTACACACTTTATTTATTTATACGGAAATTTGGTCAAAAATTAAGTACCTATTTTTTTTACATAATTCGAATAAGAATCATGTACCGAGTATGCTCCTTAAATATTGATAGTAATTCACCAGTCACCCTGTAGAGTGAGTAACATACAGTATGATGAGACTTTGACCACCAGAACCTATTCTAATTATAACACTATTTAATTCAAACATATCCATACGTAACAATCATATATTTATATAAAAATCAACAAATAAATAACATCAAACACTAGAGTATATAGTTTTGAGTTTCTTATTCAGCGAGGTCAATGCTATCTGTTGTATGCGGAACCTATTCTCTAAAAGCTTGATGCTGTGTCTAAGGTCAGTGACCTCTGATTTAACGTTGACATAGTCCATAACATCTGGTACCTCATACGCCGCACGTACAGTCCTCACCTCGTGTAGCCTCTGCACTAATTTCTCCGCCTCTGCTTCTATAACGTCTTTCTCTTTGTCGCACTGTACAGCCTGCTTCTGTTTTTCTTGTATGGAGTTTAATACGTTAGTCAGATACGTGTTTTGCTCCATCATAGCCTTTTTATGTATAGTTAGATTCAAGTTCGCGTCTCCCGTCATCTTTTTCAATTCTCCCAACTGGTGTAGCTTGTATTCTATAGTTTCAACGCATTCTTTGTTCTCTATTTTCAGTTTTTCAAAGTCCACGGATCTGAGACACTCGCTTAATTCCGCTTTGACCTTGATTTGACCTTTCAATTTGCTGTACTGTGTGTTGAGCGTGCTAGTTCGGAGTCGTAACTTCCCTATTTGCGTGTCAGCGATCTTGACCCACTCCATCATGAACCTAATCCATATCTCAGCGGGGATTCTTTGAGCTATTCTGTCCCAGCCGTTTATTATGACGTCTTGATTAAAGAATTCAGTCGCTCGTATAATATCCGCTTCACGAACGCCTATTTCTTCTAGCTGAGCTTTTAATAAAGCGTGTTGTTTGGCAGCTTTTTTTCTAGATCTTTCTAGATTCTTTATTAATATTTCCATTTCGATGGACACTAGTTCTGAACGCTCCAATATATTGACTTTCGGCCCGCTGCCTATTATGACTGTTCCGCTGACTTTTGCGGATGATTCCACACGTCTAGTTGATACCCTCGATGGGCTAGCAATCATTCTTGATGGACTAACCAAGGATTCCATTCCGTATTTCGAAGTCTGTGATTTGACGAAGCTTCCTACATTCAAGGACGAATTACTCTGCATTTTCGCTGCATATTCCAATGCCTGTTGTATGCCATGCATCAAACTCGGTTCCAACCTCAATATAGTTCGTTCGAGCACTTCGTTTTCCAAGCTCAGTATTCGTATATTCTGTTTTAGCTCGTTCACCTGTTTGATGATGTCCGCATCAGTCAATTCTTCCAGGTCATTGCTGTAATGGCATGTGGAATGCTGGCTTATGCTGCTTTTTTGGTGCGACATTTTTCTATATAGCTGTTCGTGTGTCAAAACTCACACTGTCATTGTGTTTGGCTGTCGTTTTTAGGTCATATATGGTTGCTATGGTGATGTTAAAAATAGATTTTATTAGCTCGAATGTAAGTGTGGCGTGATTCACGTTGTGACCTAATTCATCACTTCGCTAAAAATATTCTTATTGTTATTTTTGTATAGAAGATTATTATTAATAAAGGTTTTGATATTTTTTAATATAAATTATGTTTTAAACAAATCGATTAAGATTTTAAATTGTATTTATCTTTTGTATTATTTTTTCATAGTTTTAACAAAAGCTATATTAATTTTTTTTTCCGTTATTCCTTGTTTTGCTTGTTGTTTATGGTGTTTTGCGAATATATATTTTCACTAAAATCGAGTTATTTAAATTAAATTAAAATCGTAATATTGAAATTGAGTTAAATATTCCCTACTTACTGAATTTTAGGCAAAATGAATAACATATAATAAAACTCGATTTTTAGAAATCACTTCCTAAAATTTCTTTAATATGTTACAAAAAGTTTAGTTACAAATATTAAAGAATTTCTTATGCTTATTTCAGTACAATTCAAGTAGAAATGACAATTTATATCTTTATTCCAGTCACGAGCGCAAGAAAATGTACTGGGAACAATTGGAGCTTCGCTGCCGGTCCCTATATCGAGCACCCACCACGGGCAGGGCTTCGGGACAGCAAGAAAGATCACAGGTAGGGCTCCAATGATCACATTATCAATAGCACCTCGAAATATAATTGGAATTAACATAACATACCTATAATAGCTTTCCGCCCGCAGTTTCGCCCGCGTGGAGTTCGGTTATATCGCGTTTCCAAGAGAACCTTTCAAAAGTCTGGGATAAAAACTATCCTATGTTCTTTTCAAGGTCAACACTATCTCTGTACCAAATTTCAATAAAATCAGTTCAGTGGTTTAGGCGTGAAAGCGTAACAGACAGCCAGAGTTACTTTCACATTTATAATATTAGTAGGATTTATAATAATATACTTGTGTTAAAGAGAAATAAATAATATAAAGTCGTTTATGAATACTTTAATACAGTGGCGGCTGGTGGGTAATAGAACTGGTGGTGCACTTTACTAAAATGCAACAAAACATAACGAAATATCAAAAACGGCTCAATTCGTCATACATCGGGTGCTCTCGGTAATCTTCGGCCGCTCGTGCGGCGCTCGAGAACCGACTCATTACTCGGTACATTTCTATGAACTATCTTTTGTTTCACGCGTCAGGCGTATTGATGCGTGTCTCATACAAGATGTATTGGCAGTCCTCGTGCACTCGCCGAGGCGCACGATATGAGTTTAGTAAAGCGCTCAAACTTTTTGACCATAATAAGGAAATTTAATTGTTTATACGTTTTTGTATATTTAAAAAATAAATATTAAAATGTTAATTTAAAAATAAAGATGAAGTAATATTTTGTAATTTTTAAATCTTTTGAATTGGTGGTTCAGCGCACGAGTGCACTTAAGGTACAGCCGCCACTGCTTTAATAACTATATTAAATGAAAATCTCTCAATATTAATTTTATTTAAGATACAAATCTAATAAATATATGTTACGAACAATTTAATTGTTATATATACAGTATTTATTACTTATTTTGTGCCTTAAATTATATTTAGAAAAACAATTATTAATAAATTGTGATAGAAAATTATTATATTGTATGTTCATATATAATTTGAGATTTATATGTATGTATGTCTTTCAGAATACATGTAGCTGTTGCACTCAATGTCATACAACACAACCGGCCTGGGATTTCAGTGTGCAACACAGGTTTTGGGCTCCTGGTAATATAAAAGAATTAATATCTTGTAGCATAAATTAAAATAATATATATTATGATATAAATGAATTCTATTTTAAAAAGTAAAAAAATAATATAATAAAGACATTTCAAAGATTTTAGTAGGTACTAATAATTATGATTTTTACATCCAAAAATGTATTTTATTGTACCAATGTTAAATAAATATTTTTTTAATATTCACCACACTCAGTTTTGGTTAACTAAAAGTGTTATATTAATAACTGGTTTTAATCATATATATTATCTTATTTCCAGGTCGCATTGGTAACTTGTACTCACCAAATCCGGGCACAGGAAGAAAAACTTCACCTTGGAGTTGGTTTCCATGGCCGAGGGGAAATAGTCAGAAGTAATATGATAATTATAATTTACATCTCCATTATTCTTATATATAAAAGAAAGTCGTGTTAGTTACACTATTTATAAATCAAGAACGACTGTACGGATATGGTTGACCATTGGTGGAGAGAAAGCTTAGAACAAGGAGACGGACATAAGATATTTAATTCTTTTAAAATAGAAAAAACTTAATAAATTCAAATTTCTTGTTATTTACCGCCTCTAGGGCGGAGTTCCCCCGGTCAGCATGTATATTCCGAAATTAACGCGAACGAAGTCACGAGCAAATAATAGTATATTATACAATAAAAACAAATATCTCGTTCACAATCTATGAAAATATTTGCTTTAAAAATAACCTGTACTTTGCAAAAATAGTCTTCACTTACATATGCAAAAAAATAATAATTTTATACATTAATCTTTATGAATAATAATTTCCAGTTCCCGATGTCGTATGAACGTGCCACAATCGGGTGACAGCGCGTACGGTTTCTGCGAGACGGAAGCTAATCCAAACTCAGCCCAGCCCTACGATGAAAGAAACCTAAACTACCCTCAGAACCAATTCCCGAGACAAACCCAAGCTTTCAGCCAGAACCCAGCTACATTCAGCCAGAACCCAGCTAATTTTGGCCAGGGAAGCAGTTTCCAGGGTTATGCAGAAGGATTTGAGGGTAGTTTGGATGGTCAAACCGTTTGGGGTCCGCCCCCACCTTATAGTCCCCACGGCAGAAGTGGAAGCAGGTATATCTTTATATATATATAATTCTTCTGTGAGTGTGTATGTCACTAAACTTCTTTCAAACGTCTGAACCGATTTTGATGAAATTTTTTGTGTGTTCAAGAGGATCTGGGAATGGTTTAGATTCACAATCTTGTCTTGTGGAAAATATTTGTTTAATTAATTTTTAATTTATTAGTAGTTGTTGATACAAACGTTTTTTTTGACATTAGATTTGACAACTAACTATCATGTCAATCATTCTGTCGCACTTCTAAACACGGAGATTTATGGCTTTAATAGGTAATCTCTAAAAATATAAATAAAAAAACGTAACAGATATTTCTTGATTATAGGGCGATACGAAGTTCGCCGTCTCTTCTAGTATATATATGTATAAATATAATAGAATATATGTATAGAATTTATATGTATAGAATTTATATGTATAGATGGTAAAGCCTAGCTCACGTCATACTACAGCTCGAACATGGACTGGCTCGACCGGGGAAGTACCACCCTCTCACAGAAGATCGGCGTGAAGTAGTCTTTAACGGTTATGTTTCGCCCTTTGAGTGAGAGAGACGGTCGCTTCTTCCCTTTTGCCTCTTTTTTCTCCCCTTTTTCCCCAATCACAGTAGACCGTCTGCCCGGTTGTCCCCTTTAACATAAAAAAAATGTTGCATCAAATTGTTAAATTAAATAGTATTTCATTAAAGTGTCATACAAAACAATCTCAATCTCTTATATCTTGATTAAATATTATTTTGATCCATTATATTATGTAGACGTCCAATATATGTAGTGAGAAAATAATTAGCATTACATATTTGTGATTTTTATTAATTTTTATATATAATAATCAATAATTTCATATAATTCCAGGCATCATCTCCACCAAGATCCTGCATCAGCTACACTACTTCATCATCATCACATGGACCACAGGAGCTCTATGAATGTGCATGAGATGCATGCGTGCAGCAGGAACTACTTGCATAACATGCAAGGCATGGATGTTAATAGGATGCAGGATATCAACAACGATATACGGAACCCGGAAATAGCAAGAATGAATCCGGAAATAGCAAGGATTAATCCAGAGTTGGCAAGGATTAATCCGGAATTGGCGAGAATGAATCCGGAATTGGCGAGAATCAATCCAGAATTAGCAAGGATTAATCCAGAGTTAACAAGGATGAATCCAGAATTGGCGCGGATGAATTCAGAGTTAGCAAGAATAAATCCTGAACTAGCAAGGATGAATCCAGAGTTAGCAAGACTTAATCCGGAGTTAGCAAGACTGAATCCAGATATGAACATGTATCCAAACGATCCGAATGACATGTGCTTGCAAGAAATGGTGAATGTGGGACAGGAAAGATTCAATACATTAAGAGGACATCTTGTACCTTATAGGAACTGTCCAAGAATGGGCAACGGTTCAGGAAATATACACAGAGATACAGTTGATATAGAGTGTTTACATCAGAAGAGTGTTAGTAGAGGTAAATGATATATCTATATATATAATTATATAAAAGAAAGTCGTGTTAGTTACACTATTTACAACTCAAGAACGGCTGTACGGATATGATTGGAAATAAGTGGAGAGATAGATTAGAACAAGGAGACGGACATAGGATATTTATTTCTGTTCAATCGAAAAACATTCTTAATGAATTCTAATAACCAATTTATTAATAGCCTCTAAGGCGGAATAGAGTTCGCCCGGTCAGCTATACATACATATATTACTTATTCTGAAATTAACGCGGACGAAGTCGCGGTACTAGTTATATAACGCTAGTATTGTTAAATAATATTCTTATATACTAATTAAATTTTTATATCAGTTTCAGACCAAAGCAGTGACTCGTGCATTAAACAGGGGAAAGAAAATTTGGGATTCCAGAACGATAAACACTCTCCAATAAGGTATGTTATGCATTAATATACAAAAATCTTTTAATATAAGACTACTTGATAAAATATAGTTTAGCTTTTAGAAAACTAAATATATGGACGTAATGTGTACTGCTGAAAAATTACCAGAATATATAAGTATTCCAGCGTTACTTAGTTATATATACATACAGATATACTAAAAACTTGTCTACAATCAAGAACATAGTCCTAATTTATACATATCAATACTAATCTTCTTCTTCTACCTGACAATTTTCCCAGCTATAGCCAGGGTCTGCCTTACATGTTGTGAATAGTTTCGGTTAATTGTTTTTACGACCGGCCGCCTGACATCAACCCTCTTTGGGAATGCATTAATCAGTGATGTCTAAGTACTCTTAGAAGTACATATGACTCGGAAAAATCACATTGGTACTTGCCAGGATCGAACCCGCGGCCTCATGCATGAGCGTGCCTATTAACCACTAGGCCATCACTGACTACATATCAATACTAATATATTACTGATTATATTTTATTGACCTCAAATATTGTTCTAGGTCTTCCCTACAAGAAAATCGCCAGGCAGAGTCCGAGGTTTACTTCGCAGATGTATCCAGTTGTTGCACTGTTAGTGTTAAGGTATACATTATTATAATTATAATATAAATAAATAAATAAATTATTAATTAAACTATTTTGTTGGGTAAAGTATCGTTAAAATAAGAGAATTTATTATATAACTATTGTATGGTTTTATTACTATTTCAAGCGAGCTTTCCGCCTGTAGCTTCGCCCGCGTGGAGTTCGGTTATGTCGCGTTTTCAAGAGAACCTTTCAAAAGTTTGGGATAAAAACTATCCTATGTTCTTTCTTAAGTTCAACTCTGTCTGTACCAAATTTCATTAAAATCAGTTCAGTGGTTTTATCGTGAAAGCGTAACAGACAGATAGACAGAGTTACTTTCGCATTTATAATATTAGTAAGGATCACCTACAGCGTTTTAACCAACAAAACAAATGAAAAGCAAATTAAAAAAGTATGATAAATATGAAAACGAAATTTCTTATCTGTGCCGAGTATTAATCCGTCTCCATTGAGCGCCACCAGACGAATGAATGGTCATCTCTTAACAAACTCCATATATGTACATCTACTCTGTATCATTATTTTAATAAAATAGACACCTATAAGTAATACATATATGATTTAAATTTCCAGGCCGAATGCTGTATGAATCCGAATGTATCGTTGGTCGGTACCATAGACAATCATCACGAATCATCAGAATCAGATGGTTCATTCACACTCACACGCCAGAGACAACACACACAGAGCTCAAAGAGGCGACGACACACGGACAAACAGAAACACAGGCTGGACTACACGGAACACGGAACGATCAGGGAATGTGTGGACCGGAACGAACGACACGAACGGATCTGTTCGAGCGATCAGATAGAACGAATCAACGACTCCAGAGATCGATTGAACGATTCCAGAAGCGATCGGATGAGCGATAGATTGAACGATTCCAGAATCGAACGCATGAGCATGCGTAATGATCCGAGATTGGAGCGTTGCGATCGTGATAGATCGATCGATTCCAGAATTGACAGATTGAACGATTCTAGAATTGATAGATTGAACGATTCTAGAATTGAACGAATGAGTGATAGGGTGAGTGAGTGTCGATTAGATCGTAGTGACCGAGAACGTGCCAGTGACGTTAGAATTGATCGAATGAATGACTCAAGAGTTATAAGTGACCGCGGAAACGATGCTAGACTGGATCGAAGTGATCAAGATAGGTCAAACGATTCAAGAATCGATCGGTTGAACGATTCTAGAATAGATCGTATGAGTGATCGAGCAAATGATTGCAGACACGAACGGGATAGGTCCAACGATCCAAGAATAGAACGATTTAATGATTCAAGAATAGAAAGGATGAGCGATCGAGCTAACGATTCCAGAATTGATCGAGAGCGGTCCAACGATCCTAGAATCGACCGTTTGAACGATTCCAGAATCGATCGTTTGAACGATTCCAGAGCTGATCGTTTGAACGATTCCAGAGCTGATCGTTTGAACGATTCCAGAACTGATCGTTTGAACGATTCCAGAATCGATCGTTTCGACGACCGCCGTATGTCCGACATCAATTCCAGTATGAGAATAGAGGGAAGTCCAAAAATGCGTTCACACATGAGCCCGCTGCGAATGAAAAGTCCAAAGGGCATACAAAAAGATACAATGGAAACTAAGGATTTCTTCACTCCGATATCACCTCTATCACCTAACACTGAAGAGTCGTTATTGTCTGATGATGACAGACCGGAAACGGTGTATTCTAATGAACCGGAAGTGAAGTGTTTGGCGCCGGATTCACAGTATGAAGCGATCAGAGACGGAAACGAGATGTTGAAGACCAATCATCATCATTGTTACAGCGATACTAACACTATGGACTCGGGCTGGCAGAGCGGCTCGGAGAAACAGGTCACTGATTGATATGATAATGATATGACAATGATATGATAATGACATGATAATGATATGTTCAACTTGTAACAGAATTATCCTATGTTTAAGACAAAAATTCATATAGTTGGAAGCTAATTTCGTAATGATTTTTGTTTTCAGTATTATATCTATATTCCAGATTTTTCTATTTTTTTCTCATTATTAGAGAAAAATATTTGTTCAAAATATAAAATGTCTTATCAATGGAGTAAGATATAAGTATTTCTTTTACTTTGGTATATTTCTAAATGACAATGAATTAATTATTATATTATAAAGATTTTAATATCTCCATAAGTTTTATAAACGGTGTAAATTTTTACATTATCCATAAAAAAACTTAATATCTTTATTAAAAGATACATTCAATAGTTTCATATTGTTTTAAATAGAAATTCTTTGTATTATATTTTATTCAGATTTTAAATTTAATTGAAATATTTATACTTAGCGAGCTTATTTTGTGAAAATGTTTCAATTCACAATTAATATGTTAATTTCGTTTGTACTTTTATTATATAAAGCTCTCTAAGTATTCTTTTATTTCTATTAGCTTAAGGCCTCTTCATATTTGCATGTTTTACGGCGTTTTATACTTATACGTATAAAACGCCACTAGATATTGTCAATGTGGAAGGCATCTTATGATTTAACATCGTATATATGTAGAAATAGCGTTATAATTAAGATGAAAAATGACAATTTTGATAATTTTTCTATTGATATATTTTAAATCAAAGATCTCTTCAGACGGCGAGTGTTCATAGATACAATAGTTCGTCGTCTCATATATAATAATATGAATCCTTCCATTGTGAAACAGCTTTACAATTTCTATTTGTATATCTGCCCTCTATCCCACCAATATAATGAATTTAATAACTATTATATATAATAACAGTTTTAATAAAATAATGTTCCATTCAGAATTTTGATTGATTCCAGAATACTATGATAAGAATCTTGTGCCAACTTTTATAAAATTTAATGACCAAAATGAATACAAGTTTGTATAAAATTAAGGTTTGACTATTAATAATATTTTCTTTGCATGTATTCTAGATTGACCGATTGTATAATCGTTCAAATAGGTTGACCGATCTTATTTTACGTTAGGTAAAATTTAAATTTAAAGCGTTTTTCTTGCCTTTATTAAAATTATCTTCCATATAAGCAATATGTATATAATTAAGTTAGCCGTCTCAATGTTTGAGTATTAGATTTTTATTAGTATTTACTTTAAGAGTCTATTTTTTATCTAAATAATGTATTTTCTATGTTTATCTTGTATATTGATTTTCATAATATTTTCGATCGAAATTCATAAAGTTCCTTCTCTAACGCACACTAATGAATTTTTTTAATAAAATCGTAGGATTTTTTAAGTTTTCTTTTGGTATGTAAAGTAATTGTTAATGTTTTTATTTTGATCGCGTTCAGAATTATTGTATTATGTATATCATATGTTCTATTTGTATGTCATTATGACATAATCATATGTCATAATGACATATGTATATGTCTATGTATGTCATAATGACATAAAGACATACATATATTCTCTGTCCAGTTGTATGTAGGAATTGAAGTTAGGTGATGTGTTTTGATTTGTTTGGTCGTCAGTGTTAGTTTCTTAGTATTGTTAGGTTTATATATGGTTCTATTAAAAGACTGAGATCTTGATTTTTGGTTTTAATTACCCTGTTAATTTCAAGAAATAAAAAATAGTAAAAAAATATTAAATATTCTAAGTAGAGACTTACAATTACTACGTTGTATTAATTTTAATAGAAGATGGATTTGAATCTGAATTATCAGAAACATTGTTCAGCTTTCTTGTCAGTTTCGCGCACAGATGGATAAATATATGACGGTGGAGGGCCAATATCATAATTATTGTTCATAGTTTTCTTATGTGGGCATCTATCGGTGGTTGACGAAGATTCAAGAAAACACACTTTTACAATCAACCACGGTATAATCACTCAGTAATACGGTTCAAGAATAAATATACACAAACTCCATCGAGTGCCGCTACGTGGCGCTGGCGTTCCGGGAACGATAACGTAGTCTCAACGTATACCACTAGATGGCGTTGACCGAAATAATTCACATATACATTTAATAATAGTAATCTCACCAAAAACATGCCTGTTAAAAAGGGGGCCAAGTTCCAATCGGCTAATTGTTTGCCTAAAAAAGGGGTGAAATCCAATCTAATGCCAAGTTTAGATGCACTTTGAAATCGATCATAATCATCTTCATCAACAGCATGATCCACTGGTAAACATTTGCCATTCCCAAGACTCGCCACCACACCCAGTCCTCTGCCTTCCACATCCAGCCACTACCCGCCACCTTATTCACGTCAACGGTCCATCGGGCCGAAATTCACTTTACCATACACCCAACTTAAAATATGGTATAGTTGTGAAAAGACGTAGGTGCTTGGTTAAAAATATCTAAAATTATAATACTTCTCAATTTGAACTTGGCAGGTTTTCGTGCTGTACGTAACACTTAATTAATTGTATCATTAATTTATTATTTAGTTATATAATTATTTATATTTATATAATTTAAATAATTAAATTAACCTGCCAAGTTCAAATTTAGAAGTATTATAATTTTAGATATTTTTAACCAAGCACCTACGTATTTTCACAACTATACCATATTTTAAGTTGGGTGTATGGTAAAGTGAATTTCGGCCCGATGGACCGTTGACGTGAATAAGGTGGCGGGTAGTGGCTGGATGTGGAAGGCAGAGGACTGGGTGTGGTGGCGAGTCTTGGGAATGGCAAATGTTTACCAGTGGATCATGCTGTTGATGAAGATGATTATGATCGATTTCAAAGTGCATCTAAACTTGGCATTAGATTGGATTTCACCCCTTTTTTAGGCAAACAATTAGCCGATTGGAACTTGGCCCCCTTTTTAACAGGCATGTTTTTGGTGAGATTTCAATACTTTTTTTCAAGAAATCGTACATACAATCGTACTATACAGCCGTACAATGCATAACTTACAGCATGAAACATACAGCTACCATCTGATGGCATAGGAATTACCCTATGTAGTATATCTCCGCCAACCACCGAAAGATGTACAATTTCCATCGTTGGTAAATGAATAGTAGAAAAGAAATAGAGTGAATTTGTGCTTTTAACACACACAAGTAATCAATCAATAAGCAATATCAAAATTAATCCTTTAGCAAGTCAAATCAGTGATCCATTTAATCGTAATCGTAACCATATATAAGATATCAAGATATAAGTGTAGAAAGAAATAGAAAGAAATGACCATCGATTCCTTATCGACTTTCATTCATATATACTGCAGACAAAACAATATCGCGATTCAATTATACCGCTAGCGCCATCTATCGAAAGTAATTTATAACAATAGAAACCTGATTTTTTAGGTAAGCAATATTTAATTAAGTTATACAGTGTGCATAATGTATACATGACAATATTTTTTATCCCTTATATATATATATATATATATATATATATATATATATATCAGTTCTTAAGAAGCGCCCCACGCTTTTTTTTCAATAATACCATTTATTGTTTATTTTAAACAATTTAAATTAAATTGATTTCCAAGGTTGTAAAGGTTAAATTAGTTTCCACGCGGTTTCTTTCATCATTGGAGCGTGTTTTTTAGTTTTTTTTAAACTATATTTATTTTTTATTTTTTAGTTTCATTTATCACCGATTGAAAGATGTACTCATATTATTAATCATTAATATTTCATTATTATGTATTTTATTGTGCTGAGCTGAGCGCCTATATAAAGGTTTTGATTACCTGTCAGTGAGTCAGTGCCAAAATTTGCTATTTTCACAGGGTCATATTTCAGGATCTACTGAAGCTTTATCTATGAAATTTGGCATACTGCTTTAGGACTAGTATATGATTACGTAGGTACAATTTTATCTCTGTACTTGCAATAGACACTGAGCTACAGGGGGTCAAAAGTGGGTCGAATTTATTAAAAATTCGATATTTAGAATTGAGGCAACTCACGCTTGACCGATTTCTTAAATTTCTTAATTTTTTGTTAATCTACATATAACACACAACCTGTGTACCAAATTTCATAATGCTAAAACAATGGGAAGTGGCCTAGAGGTTTTGATTACCTGTCAGTGAGTCAGTGCCAAAATTAGCTATTTTCACAGGGTCATATTTCAGGATCTACTGAAGCTTTATCTATGAAATTTGGCATACTGCTTTAGTTCTAGTATATGATTACGTAGGTAAAATTTTATCTCTGTACTTGCAATAGGCACTGAGCTACAGGGGGGTCAAAAGTGGGTCGAAACGGTTCGTGTAAATATAGTGCACGGCATGCGCCGGCCTGTGGAACTTGGCCGGCGCACTACCGTGCGCTTAGATATGTACCAATAGAAATATATTTAAAAAAATTGCGATTACAATAATAATGAAAACATAATAGCGGCAAATACGGCGCAATGATAACAAAATAAAGAGTTCGGTTTCGTTTAACTACTTTTAATCATCTGTGTCTGTGAGGCGTCACGGGACGATCACACACGCTTGTAAGAATATATTCTGCAAAATCTTTGTCTTTCAGAGACAATGTTTTCGTAGGAATTATAAGTCTCATTTTCGATGCTCTCATACTCAAAATGTATAGAACTTATCAAAGTAACATTGGCTTGACCCTACTGCCTGGAACATATTATAAACTAATCGAGTATGAGACCCACTCAAGTGGCTTTTGAAGAGTTGGTTTTTTTGTACAAGGTTAAGAAACAGGTCCAGTGAAAAAATATATATGTAGGGTATAACATTTGTTTTTGACTTTTATTTTAAACACAAGACTGTATATAAAAATAAAATAGTTACTTCCAGTTATTGTTTTATTTTGTATATATGGAGAAATTAAAATTAGGTTTTAGGAGACCCATATACTTTCTCAGAGAACAGGTACAATGCAATATAAAATCAAGCTTAAATGCTGTAGGAAGGTAAAGAAATATATGTTTAGTTTAATGTAAACTGTAATTTTTATATATTTTAACTAGATTTTGAAATAAAATGGTTTTCCTAAAAACAATGTCGAAAGTTTATGAATTACTCTCTTTATTATTAGAAATTTTCTTTGACCTACAACGCCAACGACGGAAAAATCCGACGCTAGGAATTGGGACCTATGTATGCTCAAATATGCAACGATAAACTAAAAATAAATGATTGCGTACTAAACTGACTAATTAGTTCCAAAACAAATGCATCAATTGTAATTAAAACGACGTGTCTACAAATATTTATGTGTATTGCATTTAATTCCTTTAAAATTGAATTAATTTACTGATGAAATGTTAGCAACTGCATAGATGGTTCCCATCCCTAGCCCGTGTGTTTCGAATCTTAATTTGTTAGAACAATTTATTTTCATTAAGTAATACGAAATGTCGATTATCAAAAAGTGCACGGAGGACATCCCTATTTTTTTGTAAATGATTCTACGAGTTCAACAGATAAAAACATTAACATGACTTATTAAGGATTTGTTAGGAAAAAGAAACAAAAACTAAAGCATTTATTTTTTATTCTGTTAATGCTAGTTAATATTAATATTACTTCAACATTATCGTGAGCACCACAATTACGTATTCCATAAGTTTATTTCCGATGGCTGTGTCTTAACGCTAGTTGGTACAAGTTCTCATGAAGAGTATTCACTCATTTATTGTAGGACTAGTGAAATGCATCAGCATTATTTAAAAGGCACTTATAACTACAATTAAATCACTTCAACTTAAAATATATCAAAATTTCGTTGTTACTTCATCTTGTATCAAACGTCTTTTGTTCACTTTATATTATTATAGTTAAAAATTAAGCTTGATATGTTAAAAAATTAACATAATATTTGCAATGACTTTGACATTTCGGTTAGCTGTCAAAATCAGACCGCCATCTTGAACAGTGTTGCCAGACTAATGAACATTATTATAATGGCGGGTAAATTGACGCTGCTGTTGTTTGTTTTGTATACTAAGTCGCTGGTTTGTGAGACAGTGGCTACGTCTTCTTCGCCGAGCTTCTGATTGGCTATTTTGAGGTTCTTTAATAGAGTTAAGACGTCCTCTGAAACAATAATCGGATTTTTTACTTAAAAACCACCGAACAGATTTTGCTCAAAATTCACAGTTATACAGGGTGACTAGTGAATTACTATCAATATTTAAGGAGAATACTCGGTACATGATTCTCATTCGAATTATGTAAAAAAAATAGGTACTTAATTTTTGACCAAATTTCCGTATAAATAAATAAAGTGTGGACACGTTCCAAGTGTTCCAAGTGTGGACGCGTGCGGCGGCGTGCTGATACAACACCACGCCGCCACGTGCGAGTGTGTGTGTGTGTGTGTATACCTAATCTGTAGGGTGTTCACATGATGCGTAATTAATTAAATAACTTTTGGTAAACTTTACTTAGAAGTTTATTAATATTTATGTTATATTAATTTTTATTTTGTCATATATGATCGTCAAATATCACGTCCTCAAATATTGATAGTAATTCACCAGTCACCCTGTATAGCTTAGTTCTTTACTCAAAAACAACTACTCAGATTTTAATGAAAATTTCTAGTAATGTAGTTTAGATATCAGAATAAGCTATGGGCTACAATAAAATAAAATAACATTTTGTATTAATGTTGGGTGAACGCATAATTATTATATCATGTTTAAAGTCATTTGACAATAGATGTCGCTGACGGTCGATTCACAAATTTATTGTTTTAAAACACTATATATTTCTTTCTGAACTTGACTCTTTGTCGAGTCATTGGCAAACTTTAGTACAGTAGAAACTATATTATCCGGCTCTCAGTTATACGGATTCGCGATTATCCGGACTACGGACAAGTCCGGATAAAAATTAGTGGTGTTGTTGAGAGTGGCGTACGTCAAATGACAATTACCAAATATTCTAAACCAAATTAACTTATTATTTTATTTTAGTTTTAGTTATTAGTATACATGTATTTTTTTTTAATAAACTAAATACTACATATGCACAAAACCGGCTTTTCTTCATAAATTCGGTTATCCGGATTTTCGATTATCCCAATGCCTAACAACAATTAGTCCGGTTAATCGAGTTTCTACTGTATAATGTTAATAAATCGTCAATTAATTGTTATAACTAACCTTCCTCCCTATTTCCACCTTTCCAGTCTACTTTAATGATAGTAGTGAGTGATACTTCATACACCTTGTTTGAGGTTGTGCTAGCGATGGAACGACGTTTCCTACCATACGCTGTTACACCATTCGTACATTGAACCTGTGGAATTAAATTTAAGAGTATTAGAAATTTAATAATAAAAATATCTGATTTAAAAGTTATTTGAAACATTATATTATGTCTAGGAATCCAGTGCATATGAAGCATAGTATAAAAAAAACGTAATATTTATTCTGAAAACTAAATAATGTAATTTTAAACTTAACTTAAACAGTTTGTCAGTAAAAGTTATGTTGGATTATTTTTTGCATGCAAACTAAACTGCTTTCTGTTCTACATAACAATAATCAACGAATATAGGATACAATAATATATGTAGCCTTTTAATATATGTATGTATAGGCAACACATATTTAATTCAAACAGAATCTTTACTCCGGAACGCATCCGAAATGACGTTAATTCGCGCGGGAAATTATTTGGCAACGAGTTTCGTCATAGCAAATTAAATTTAAGTTAGATAATCCAATCTGGTTTTATATAATAATTAGTTTAAACTCTTTAATACAAATTTCATTTAAGGTTTGATTTATTTTTATAGGTTTGTATGGCAATTTTTTTTCATGATTTTGTTTGAACCCTATATATATATATATTTATTAATACTCACTCCTTGACACTTGTCGAGGCACACTGTAACAGTCCCTCTGAACAGCACGTATGAAGTATCGGGAAACTTAAACGCTCTAAACTTAGCGGTCAAATTTTTACCGTCTGTAGTCACGAAATTGTCAAACAGATATGGATCTACGGAACATCTGTAATAAAGTAAAAAAATATAACATTATATATGTATAAAGATGCACTGGCTAAAGAAAGACAACGCACTACTCTCTCCTTTGCTCCTTTACTAACTTTTATCTCCCTCTCACTTTCGTTCGTGTCACCCAATCACACTTTTCGTAACGCTTTCGTCACGCATTCATTATTTACTCCCAAGTCAAGCGTGTATATAAGTTTTACTTCAATAGAGACGTAACCTCTCATCATTCCATGTATTCACGGTGCGTGTGTCGGGTCCATCGTTGTAGTGAGAGGAGCTTCAACAGTGACTGGGACTTGTGACCCAGGTGTAGGTTTAATATATATAGAGAGACGAAACCTCTCATCATTCCATGTATTCACGGTGCGTGTGTCGGGTCCATCGTTGTAGTGAGAGGAGCTTCAACAGTGACTGGGACTTGTGACCCAGGTGTAGGTTTAAGGGACCCTTTCTAACGCGTTATACGCTCACCTCCACTGTACAAGCTCCTCTCTCTACCTAACACAATATCCTAACCTCCTAACATTATAATTGCGAAAGTTTGTGAGCAGTGGCGGCTGGTGGGTAATCGAACTGGTGGTGCATTTTACAAAAATATTTAAATCAGTTAAAGTTCTCAAATTTAGAAAATGCAACAAAACATAACTAGATGTCAATCATGGCTCAATTCGTCATACATCGGGTGCTCTCGGTAATCTTCGGTCGCTCGTGCGGCGCTCGAGAACCGACTCATTACTCGGTACATTTCTATGAACTATCTTTTGTTTCACGCGTCAGGCGTATTATTTCGTATCTCATACAAGATGTATTGGCAGTCCTCGTGCACTCGCCGAAGCGCACGATATGAGTTAAGTAAAGCGCTCAAACTTTTTGACCATAATATTATTAAATTTCATTTTTTATACGTTTTCATATGTTTAAAAATAAATATTAAAATGGTAATTTAAAAATAAATATGAAGTAATTTTTTGTAATTTTTAAATCTTTTGTATTGGTGGTTCAGCGCACGAGTGCACTTAAGTTACAGCCGCCACTGTTTGTGAGTATGTATGTTTGTTACGTCTTCACGCTCAAACGGCTGACTCCAATTTGATAAAATTTTGTATACAGGAAGCTGACGTCCAGGAATAACATATAGGCTTTTCGAGAAAATGTTCGACCTGATAATCCGCGGGTAACACCGCGGGGCGCAGCTAGTATATATATATTCATACATACCCGTTAAATATAATAGTCTCCTGTTGTTTCCCGGTGTCTGTCACGTGCATGTAGTTGACAAGCAGGCCGTACACAGGAGACGAGCTGTTGTCTAAGAAGATGTCCATGGACAGCGGAGTCCCCGGACTTACTGAGATCTCACCCGACACTCTATATGGAGGGTAGAAGGGAAATAAATAAATAATGAGTGATAATGAGACAGATATATGAAAAATAATATTATTATAACTATGTATATTAAGTAGGAAGGTAGACCCTAGCTAAAGCTGGTAAATTGCCAGGAAGAACTGTATATCCCTAGTTATACTATAAATGAGACAATAACACTGTCTATCTTATTATTGTCTGTTATGTTTTTATGCTTACATAACTGAACGGATTTTGATGACTTATGGTAAAAACATAGTTTGAATCCTGGAGGATATAGCCTACTTTTTAACTCGAATGTCATAACTACTTGGATATACATGGAAACCTGATTATCCGGCCCTCAGTTATACGGATTCGCGATTATCCGGACCACGGACAAGTCCGGATAAAAATTAGTGGTGTTGTTGCGAGTGGCGTACATCAAATGACAATTACCAAATATTCTAAAGCAAATTAAACTTTTATTTTAATTTATGATCACCAATTGCAAATTACCAAATACATATTGTAATTTATTTCATGATTAAATCTGTTTTTAGTACATACATGAATTTGTATGTATATCTTAGAAATTATATCCTTTAATTTTTTATTACAAAACATTGATTCTCATTGATATGTATTTGTTTCTTTTTTAAAATAAATATATAATATTATGGTACTACATATACACAAAACCCCACTTTTCTTCATACATTCTGTTATCTGGATTTTCGATTATCTGAATGCCTATTGACAATAATTAGTCCGGTTAATCAAGTTTCTAATATGTATATTCCAAGTTTTTTCTATAGTAAAACCAATCAATAAAATATAATTCTTTATATATACTTGTGTATCGTTATATAAGTCATGTTATATAATAACTCACTGTCTTCCATTCTGTTTGACCACAGCCCCCAGCATTGGCTCGGGCGCTCTGCCCTCCATGTACCTCGTGATATCGAGAACACTGGAATGTTATGAGAAAAATATATAGATTTTATTCATAGTATATATTTATAAATATATACAAAGACAGGAAGAAATAAGGGATATATTTATTTCGTATAACAATATTACTTAAAATTTTATATTTTTGTTTTTATAATTGATATTGATATTTAATATTATAACCTCGTTTTAGTGATTACGGTTGCTACAAAGTAACCGAAACGTCGGGAGTGTGTAGTCTATATAATGAAAGACGCTTTGTAATCACAAAAATATTAGTGACATTTAAATTACAAATATTTTTGGAATGTTTCTATAACCCATTAATTGCATTTCTTATTATCGTTTTGTTTATCTAACATTTTAACTATTCCTTGATATAAATAATCTTATTTCTACGCCCTCATAATATAAATAAATTTAAAAATTCTTATATTTTTACTTCCACATTCTACATTTTATCGGTCTAATGTAATAATATAAAAAAAAACAAGTACAAAACTTTTTTCATTTGACCAATTTCAAACACATGTATAAATGCCACTTTTACTCTAGGTCCTAATGAATCAGCAATCGTAACATCACACAGTACTCAATACAATAACTCGTCAAACAAATAAAAATATTGACATTGGCATAATACTCCACGATTCTAGTGCGAATGGAGACAACAAAAAAAAGTTGACATTTAACGTCAAAACGTCACTGTCAAATATATTCACTTATTTTATTAATTGATGTATATTTTCATTTATAATACTCACTCTGGCTCATTGAAGTCCACGGGGAATGGTTCGACGGCCCGCTTGGAGAGTGCCCTCAGCTTGTTACTTACAACACACCTCACTCTTACTGTATCTCGACCGCCCGACGCGTCTTCTATTACGACTTTGTGATAATAAGTCCGTATACCCTGATTAAAAAAACATATACATAATATATTAAATCTCTTAAGTATTTACTTTTGAAAATAAAAGCTAAATCTCACTTTAATATAAGATTATCGTATAAAAACAACTTCCACCATATTGTTGTCAATGTGACACTATATTTTTTAAAGAGTAATTAAATGTGCAACGTGCATACTTCATTCTGCCAATGTCACGTAAAAGTAATTTCGACAATCTGTGTACAATTTTATTTACAAAGTTATTAATAATAATTGGTTGTTATATTAGGAACAGTTATTTTAGTTTGAATGTTGATAACAAGAAGTTTAAACATGTAGTGAAGTACACGATGAAAGATTACATAACAAAAACTAGAATCAAGGCTAGGATGTCTCGTTACAAAAAACCAGGAAGTGATCAAACGCGTTGGCAGCCATATTGGAATTACTTTATAACAAAATAAAGAAATTATCTGTTTTAAACTTCAAATATGTCAAAATACAAATAAAATGTTAAATTGTTACGTAATATTAGTCAGTTTATTGTATTTATTATGTTTTGCAATGTATTCAATGATATTAGTATGCAAGGCGTTCACAATTTGTGCGACCAGACTGGATTTAACCAACAGGTTGATTGACAAAGACGCTTCGACGCCATTTTCTTTTGTTTTTTATTTATTGCAGCATTCGGAAGGAAGATTGGTGATTTCAAACTTGTAATTTGATATCATAAGTCAGGTTTCCTCACGATGTTTTCCTTCACCTGTCAGTGGTGTCTAAATACTCTTAGAAAGTACAAAATATGGATGTACTACATATTACTCGGAAAAATCGCTTTGATATTTTTTATTATTTTATTATTATTATATTTTTTCTTTTGTACCCTATGGACTATGTGTTCGAAATAAAGATTTATTATTATTCACTTTGGTATTATACAACCGTTAGTAAGGATTAATCATTGAAAGATTGTTTTGTCTATTTTTAATCAGACTATTTAAAATCATGTTAATTTTACATTATTAATATTAACAATTTTCATTATATTTAATATATTGCATATTTTACAATCGTACCTACTGATTTGATAATTGAAAAAATTTGAGAATATACTGACAGAAATTTCTTTTAAATATGTATGACTTCTTTAAATTAATAATTGGTGGTTGTAAGAAGTCATGAGCTCAAAAAAGTATCTTAATCCCTAGTTTTAGTGCAAACCAGTTGCTATTATAGTAAGTATTGTTAAAATTATGAGTTTTTATCATTGTTTTTACTCACAGTGATCTTATTAAGTACTCTTGTGACGGCGCATTTGTGATACTCTTGTAGATCTAGCATGAAAGTCGCTGAATTACCCTCGATGATAGGTTCACAGGGGGTGTAATCTGAAAACATATATACAAACAATGATTGTTATGTATTCGCAACATATTAAGAAATAAAAAACATTGTCAGGCAACACGTTGTATGTATAAAATATATACCGAGTGACGCCGCTGACTCCGCGGAACGAACACCAAGCGTGTGAACCAGAAGATTCCTGATACACACAAGCTATGGAATGGTATTGCTATCCTAACATCGGGTCAATCATGTAGTCTTAGGTGTATTATAAGTTTTAATATGTAATTCTCATTATAATATACATATAAGAAAGTTTCGTAGTTAAAATCAAATTAACTCAAATATTTTAATCGCGATATATTTTTAATATGACGATGACAAATTCAGGAAAGAATTATAATAAAGGCAAATAATGAGGGATGAGTGAAATAATTCAGAATTAACTTGCATTGTTTAATGTTGTTGAAATATATAAGTCACGAGGTCTAAATAAAAAATAATAAAATAACTTGAATTGTTTAATATTGTTGAAAATAAAGTAATGAGGTCTTACAAAAAATAATTGAGTTATGTTAGACACAAGTGCATTTAAGTATCGGCGAGTAATCCTGTTAGTTGTGTGTCTGTTTGTTAAACTTTTACTCATAAACTAAATATTTTTTTTTGGTGATAATATCATTGCATTACATATATATGAATTTAAGTAACTCGTCCTGTATCAGATATTATAATATAATGTTTATTGTTAAATATATTATTAAAAAAACTAATAGTTTTTGGATTTCTCATCTCCTCTTAATGATGACGGTTGCTGTAAAGTAACTAAACGTCGTTATTATGTAGTTAAAAATAAATAAAAAACGCGTTGTATATCCGAATAATATTAGCTTTATTTAAATGAATACTCGCGATAGTCTTAGATCTCTTAATTGTATAAAAGTTCTTCCTTAATATGTAAACGTACATTAAATAGATACGAAATATGAAACGGAGAGATATTATTAAAAGAGTGGCTAACACAACAATTTGCAAATAAAATACATATCATTATAATATAAGGAATATATAATTTTTATATTAATACTAGTTTTTGCCCGTGACATTGTCTGCGTTAGTTTCAGAATTATAAACGTTTTGCTGACCGGACGAACTCTATTCCTCCTTAAATACAGTAGATAAGATTTTGGATTTAAACAACTTATTTTTTTTCTTTTTCTATGGAAGGAAAAGTATCCTATGTCCTTTCCTGGTTCTAATCTATCTCTCCACCAATTTTCATCAACCCGTACAGTCGTTCTTGAGTTATAAATAGTGTAACTAACACGACTTTCTTTTATTTATGTAGATTCAAACATGATAAGGAAATATTGAAATATCTGATGCTTTGTTTTTTCATGATCTCATTTAAATGAACCAAAAGCGAGTCTTCCCCGCGGCTCTGTAACTTATTATCTCAATAACCTTTGAAAATATTACTTTTTGATGAAGAAATATCATTATTTTGTTATAATAATAAGTTCTCTCATTTTTTTCCTTTTGAGCTTTCCGCCCGCAGCTTCGCCCGCATGGAGTTCGGTTATATCGCGTTTCCAAGAGAACCTTTCAAAAGTCTGGGATAAAAACTATCCTATGTTCTTTATCAAGGTCAACTCTGTCTGTACCAAATTTCATTAAAATCAGTTCAGTGGTTTAGGCGTGAAAGCGTAACAGACAGACAGACAGAGTTACTTTCGTACTTATAATATTAGTAGGGATAAATACATTGTTATTGATTAATTCTTTAATTTTGGCTTCAAAATGACAGTTTCATAATATTTCATGAAATCAGTCTTTTTGTGTCAGAACTGTCAAATAATTATATAAATTCGTTCATTTTTTATTCCGTCTTCATTCTTACTGTAATCGTGTAATATTTTGTCAATGTCAAAGTTTTTATTTGTTGGACGAATTATAATCTTGAGTACTGTGTGGAAACACGAAGGAGTTTGTAGAATGGAATAAAGATTTTTATTTAATTATTATAATTAACTTTTTAATATATTACCTATATTTGACATATGAAATTAACTGATACAATTCTAGTTTCCTATAACTATATGTCGACAAAGCTTAGTAACCAAGCCTCTATTTCAATATTGAACAAAATTGAACACTATATTATGTAATACATAACAAAACTCACATATAACTCTTAAAATTTCTTAAATAACATAAGTACATTCCATATATATACATGGGCTCATGAAATTATAATTTCTTGTGACTTCATATAAGATGCAAAACGAGAACTACAACTCACGTCAACCATTGTGTTGTTCCATTGAAGTGTCCATCATTAGATATTATATTGAAATTAGTTTATAAATATATAAAATGATGATTTGGAACATATATATATCTATGAAGAATTAATTTTATCTCCGTTTTAAAATATTAATTGATGTTTAATGACTTTAGTAATATTTACTATCAATTAGTAAAAAAAGGCTAATTAGAAAAAAATAATTATTGAAGAAAAATCTCTTTAAATATAATAATAACTATTATATTATTATTATAATTATAAATTAAGAGTATGTTTATATTATTTTTTTCACATTACTGAACCGATATTATTAATACTCTGGAATTTTAGTGTATTTTTATCTATTTTGTTTTATTTGACATTTTCGTGTATATTTTGACACTTGTCAGATATGACAGATTAATTCTGAATCTATTACCTACATAGTGTGAGTAATAATAATTTTAGATTATTAGAGCTTCCTATGCAGAATATAAAATAAATAATTTACTTAAATAAAAAAATTCTTTAGTGTTTCCTCCACACAGTACTCAAGATTATAATTCGTCCAACAAACAAAAACGTTGAAATTGGCAGAATATTACACGATTACAATCCAAACGAAGCCATTGCATTAAAAAAACAATCTGTGATTAAAATGTCATCGGATTTTTTCCTTGTTTTCCTCTTCACAAGATTTTTATATTGCTATTGATACTACTTAAAGGATTAAATTTATTTTCATTATCTATATTACTCTTTTTTTTAACTTAAAACGAGTTAATTGCATCACATTTAAATATCATCACGTAACTACTTTTTGATAGCTCTTACTATTATAGTTATCGTTAAACCAATATCGATAAAGTGTTTGGGAATAAAATTAAAAATACATAGATATAAATATGTATTGATTGTAAGATAAAAAAGGGTGTTTATAAAAGAAGAAAGGAAAATAGAAAAAAATAACTTATTCTATTAGAACTTAAATTTACTCTAAATAAAGGAAACTAATAATATTATATAATAATTTATAGCATTATATACAGATACACTTTTTTATATATGTATTTTAAAATACTTTTTTCCCGCGACTTCGTCTGAGTTATTTTGACAAATAGAAATGTATAGCTGACCGGGCGTACTGTTTCGCTTTAGAGGCAGTAAATAAACTGATTTTGGATTTTATCAACTTATTTTTTTTTTGCAAGGGGGTTGAAAAGTATCCTATGTCCGTCTCCTGGTTCTAATCTATCTCTCCACCCATTTTCAACCAAATACATATTGTCGTTCTTGAGTTATAAATAGCGTAACTAACAAACTTTCTTTTATATATAATATAAATTATATTTAATTTTAAATCGTCCGTATGATAATAGTCTCCATAGATCCAAGGTTTCCCTCACTGGTGTCAGTTGTCCATATTTAGTGCTATTGTGATTCATTCTCATGCCAGCGAAGATTTCTTTAAGCTTCCATTGTTTATATACTTTCATTGTAATATTGCCATAACTATATTTAATTTAAACTTAATGTACTCGAAAGTAAGCCGCGTTATAAGTGTAGATCTTTTGTTGTGATTTTAATTGATTATAAACTTAGGTACACTTCGAGTGCCTGTAAGTACTTTTAATGTCTAATGAAGTGAACTCAGATAGTCTTGAATTTCATGTAGGTTACAGAAACGAACACGAAATTTATTAGTTGGCATTATTTTTTTATGGAGGAAATCAAACCGATATTAATAATTTTTAACATTATAAAAACATTTCTTTAAAAATATATCTATTTATATATAAAATTACTTGAGCAAAATACGTTAATTGTTGTAAAATAATTATGCAAAATAATTTAATGCAACACATATTTTTAAACATGGCAACATTTAAATGACATATGAAAATAATGCTCACCCTTCAGTTGGTCGAGGTAGGAGATCTTTCTGTCTCCGTCCATCGGTACCACCACCTTCATGTATTCTGGAGAGCACTCGATCTGGGCCTGGGAACCTGGAAGTAATAAACACGTTACTGACAGCAAGGAGGATTTAATACAATGGCGACATCGGCTGTACCGTTGACATTGACAGCACAAAGGTTTTATGACACAAATAAAATAACATTGACATTTGACAGTAAAAAGTTTGCATATTATTATAAAAAAGTAATAGAAATAAGTTGAAATATGTAAGTATAAGTCGATTTAAACCTTTTAAATTATTTATAGAACATTTTTATCCATTGCAATGAATGTAAAAAGGTTTTATTATCCACGAATACGGTTATCGCAATGATGCTTTTTTTATTAATACCGTTCGTCCGTTTTATAACTCGCTTTATAATTATAGAATGAGGTTTACTGCTTTATAGAATACTCTATTATTATCGTATATTTCAAGTGATCTGGGAATGCTTATATTATGTTTAATTCTTCTTAATATTTGTTCAAGGTTAAATATGTTAGAATGTTCCAGAATTCTCGTTAAGCGGGTTTAAATGTAATGTAGTTATTTGTTTTGATGACTATGCGTTCTTCTAAACATGACTCGAGTCAAAATAATGTTATCTGATTGTATTGAGCATAATTTAATACAATAAGTGAATATTTATAAAAAGTTATAACACATGAATCGCCATTTTGTTTCTAATTCATGATAATTCATGCATTTTTACAACATCCGTGTTATGATGACGTAATCTCTTAATCATAAGGTCAAGTTCACATTAACATACGAAAAGCGTATTACATTATATTATATATATTATAATATATAAAACATTGAAATAGAAAGCTCCGGTTACATAATAAACTCCGGGGTAGACGTCCGTCACGCTACGCTTGCCACTCGTGTGAACACACCTCTATTTCGGCCTATTGTTTTGTAAAAATTATATATGTATATATATCATTACTTACAGATATTGAGATAATAATAATTAAAAAACATTATAGTTATGAGAAGTATAATCTGATGTGGAGAATTTATTGTTGAAACCGTTTCTAAACTCTACTCGTTTGGAAGTGACATTAAAAGATTTAACGTATTTTTTAACAGGTACATTTGACGCCATTTTGAAGGTGTAAATTCAGGTTTTGTTATTATCTTCTGGATTTAGAATTAGAGGATCTAGAATACGTACAGGTTTTTGATAGTAATTGGATATACAGGGTGACTGATGAATTACTATCGATACTTGAGGACGTGATATTTGACGATCATATATGACAAAATAAAAATTAATATAACATAAATATTAATAAACTTCTAAGTAAAGTTAACCAAAAGTTGTGTAATTAATTACACATCGGGTGAACACCCTACAGATTTGGTATACACACACACACACGAGTGCGGCGGCGTGGTGTTGTATCAGCACGCCGCCGCATGCGTCCACACTTGGAACACTTGGAACGTGTCCACACTTTATTTATTTATTCAGAAATTTGGTCAAAAATTAAGTACCTATTTTTTTTTATAATTCAAATGAGAATCACGTACCGAGTATTCTCCTTAAATATTGATAGGAATTCATCAGTCACCCTGTATAGGTAAGACTTTTTTGAACATTTAAATGAAACTAAGTTTTTCGTAAGCTACGCGTTTTTTAAAATATTATTTCTTCATAATCAGGATATTTCGGCTAGTTTACTAATTATGTAGTTATAAAATATATATTGTAGAATTTACCTTGTATTGTATAGTACTTGATTATCATATTAAATGATGGTAAGAAGAAATGGTTTTATTTGTAAATGTACAACCCTAGCACAGTAATCACTCGTCTTGAAAACTTTCTTTATTTTAAAAGAAACAGAATTCACTTATAAGGAAAAATATATTAAAATACTACAAAACTATGTCCAGATATATATAAAAAATAACGACTAATATATAAATAAAATCTGTATCCTTAATATGAGTTCTCATGGTCACTACATACGCAGCGTTAATAATTTTTCACTCACATCTTAACATATACTATCATTATACAGGGTGACTGGTGAATTACTATCAATATTTAAGGAGCATACTCGGTACATGATTCTCATTCGAATTATGTAAAAAAAAATAGGCACTTAATTTTTGACCAAATTTCCGTATAAATAAATAAAGTGTTGACACGTTCCAAGTGTTCCAAGCGTGGACGCGTGCGGCGGCGAAGTGTTGTATCAGCACGCGTGTGTGTGTGTGTATACCTAATCTGTAGGGTGTTCACACGATGCGTAATTAATTACATAACTTTTGGTTAACTTTACTTAGAAGTTTATTAATATTTATGTTATATTAATTTTTATTTTGTCATATATGATCGTCAAATATCACGTCCTCAAATATCGATAGTAATTCACCAGTCACCCTGTAGAATGAGAAACGGGATACGCTACGTCTTACGTTACAAACTTGTGGTAAGTATAGAGATTATTATCTCGGAGTGAGGCTTGTTCTGCTTTGAACACGATACTATCAAAACACATTTTACTTCACATATTTTAAGTTAACTTACGAATATATTAATTACTATTTATATGTATTTCTAAAACAGAAAAATCTCTCTATAACCTACTAAAAGACATGATTCTTGCTTAAAATGAAACAGAACAATAAATATGTATAATTTTTAATATTGATCGTCATCATCCTATCAGAGCCCACTGCTGAGCTGCCTCTTTCTCACATGGAGAAGGTTTGAGCATTAATCACCACGCTTGCTCAAGACGGGTTGGTGATTTCAAACTTATAATTTGATATTATAAGTCCAGGTTTCCTCACGATGTTTTCCTTCACTTTTAATACTAGTAAAAAATGCATCTCAAGTAATCATTACATTATATCATTCATAAAAGAACTCAAGTCGAGTTTTCTTAACTATATTTACCAACACGTGAAATCTGTCTAATAGATAAGCTTTAATTAATAATATACCTTATGAATCTAAATATAAGAATGATTTTCGCTTGACTATATATATACAAGTAAATATTAGATTACATGTTGCTTAAACATGTCTTAGACGAATGTGGAGAGAATTACGAAGTTGTTAAAACGAAATACACACACCCACACACCCACACACACACACACACACAGACACACACACACGCGTTCAAGATAATGTTAAAATATTTGTTCAAAATATGTCTTTTGTATGTTTGTTTAACAGAGACGAAACCTCTCATCATTCCATGTATTCACGGTGCGTGTGTCGGGTCCATCGTTGTAGTGAGAGGAGCTTCAACAGTGACTGGGACTTGTGACCCAGGTGTAGGTTTAAGTCTCTATCTAACGCGTTAAACGATCACCTCCACCGTCCAAGCTCCTCTCTCTACCTAATTTGAAACGAACTTACTAATGCTGCCTTCGAAGTAGGTTTAGTACGAATTGATATTAGTTCTGGACAGGCCCAAGTCTTTTAGTAGGTTGTAGAGAGATTTATCCATTATACCTGTCTCGCTTTTTCTATCTAGCTTCTAATTAAGAGATAATTTACCATAATACGAGTATACTAATGACATAGATCTTTTCTACAGTAAATACATAATAGGCAGGAGCTAGTATAATAATATGAAACACTTTAAAAGCGATGTCGTAATTCAAACAGAGTAAGTCAGTGACAGAGGTAGCATGTGTATATAAATTAACTATGAATGAAATAAAGACTTGAAAATATAATAAAGTTTTTGTTACATTACTCTGTGCTCATATTTCTTAATAGCGAACTTATGTCTGCAGCTAAGTCACTAATAAGTAATAAGCATCTGTCTGTTCTTATTATATATATAAAAATATACTAGTATTTGCCCGCGACTTCATCTGCGTTAGTTTCGGAATAAGAAATGTATAGATTGCAGGGTGAACTCTATTCCTCCTTAAAGACAGTAGATAAGAAGATTTTGGATTTGATCAACTTGTTTTTGTTTTCTTTTTCAATTGGATGTGAAGTATTTTATGTCCTTTCTCTTTTTCTAAGCTATATCTCCACCAATTGTCAACCATATACATACAGCTCTAGTTGAGTTATCAATTGTGTAACTAACACAACTTTCTTTTATATATATACATATATAGATATGAGTTCTCTGTAATAAATGAACTATGATAATTCCTTTTGAAATAATTTAGCTTTAAATTTGCCGAAACAAAGAAAACTCCAAATCAAAATTCTGAATAATCGACACTTAGATAATTAAAATAATTTAGTAATCCTTTTGATTATACAGGGTTGCTGGTGAATTACTATCGATACTTGAGGACGTGATATTTGACGATCATATATGACAAAATAAAAATTAATATAACATAAATATTAATAAACTTCTATGTAATTAATACGCATCGTGTGAACACCCTACAGATTAGGTATACACACACACACACACGCGTGCGGCGGCGTGGTGTTGTATGAGCACGCCGCCGCACGCGTCCACACTGGGAACACTTGGAACGTGTCCACACTTTATTTATTTATACGGAAATTTGGTCAAAAATTAAGTACCTATTTTTTTTACATAATTCGAATGAGAATCATGTACCGAGTATTCTCCTTAAATATTGATAGTAATTCACCAGTCACCCTGTATAAAGTCACTGTAAAATCCCAAAAAATCTTACTATATTCTAACCATAATATTAATTCAGTTTTTTTTTAATTGTGTAGTAGTAGTAAGTATGCCTTAAAAATAATATATGTACGTACAATGTTAACGTATTCACAAGTAATAAAAACTTTTATTTTATTTAACTCCATCTTAAAACATTAGTTTGAAAACTAATATGAATATAAAATATGTCAATAAACTAAGAATTAACGGTTCGTAATAAAAAGTATGTCTAGTAGAGTCAGGTTTGTAAGAAAAATACTTGTACAGCACTAACCTGCCGACCAAGTGAGCTTTTTTTATTAAGAAATGTGGGCAAGGAGGTAACTGTTACGAAGGGATGTGCCACATATCGATTTTTATCAAAAAAACCGATATATCGATTTATTTATCATCACTAGTTTAATACTTTATACGTCAAAACATAATTAAATTTTTAAATATAAGACATTTAAACGTCTAGTGTATTTTATTTATAATTTTTCCTTGTAATATTATTTGTACAAAAAACTTAAGTGCAAAGTACGCAATCTTTGACTGGTTTGTCAAAAAAACAAATAATATTATATTTTTGGATTCTATAAGCGTTTATAAATATAATCTTATTTTAATATATATAAATTGTAAATGGAAGATTTTTCTAGTATTTTATAATTTATCTTCAACGCGGTATTTTTCGATTAAGAAATGTCATTGTCGTAAAATATGACAGTTAGGACATTTGAACAAAAATTCAGGAATTTAGACGAAATATTTTTTGTTGAAATTTAATTTATATTAAAATAGAAATAATACACACGACGATTAAAGAACGAAGATTTGGACTTTGGTTATACAAAAAGATACATATATTAAAAGACATAATAAATATATATAACCACTTAAAATCTTTTGTACATTAATATTTACAAATTATATAGAATTATTACCAAATTTAACTTGATTAAAATATCTTATATATAAAATTCTTGTGTCGCAGTATTAGATGGAGAACTCACCCGAAACGGATGGACCGATTTTGATGAAATTTTGAGAGCATATTGAGTAGCTCAGAGAATCGGCCAACATCTATTTTTCATACACCTAAGTCATAAGAGTTGTTCACCCTATTTTTTTTATATGGCAAAACAAAGTCTGCCGGGTTAGCTAGTATGTTCTATAAATAGGGTTTGCCTATTTTTTTACGTCCTAAATAATGATATATGTATATATATATCGATAGTTTCCCATCCCTATCATCGACATGAGTTAATAGGATTCATCTATTTTTAAGCTCGTTCATAATAAGCCAGCTCGAATTTATGGTCCAAGCTATTTTTATAGCACAACTCTATGAGACAGAGAAAATTGTTTATGGTGCTTGTGGAACAAGTTTTTAGCGATACTATGTAGTTGAAATTTTATATTTTTAATGCTTATAATAAATTAAAAATTAAGAAAAAGAGGATTTACATATATACTTATATATATATATGTTTTTTTTATTAGGAATATTTACTTATATATTTTTTTTACTAGCTTTCCGCCTGCAGCTTCGCCCGCGTGGAGTTCGGTTATATCGCGTTCCCAAGAGAACCTTTCAAAAGTCTGGGATAAAAACTATCCTATGTTCTTTCTCAAGGTCAACTCTATTTCAGTACCAAATTTCATTAAAATCAGTTCAGTGGTTTAGGCGTGAAAGCGTAACAGACAGACAGACAGAGTTACTTTTTAGTACATACATATAGTTGCCCAAACATTTTCTTTTACGAAGTTCTTACTTAAAATACTATAGTAATATTAAAATAAAACATATATCTCTTTCATGATAATTGCTATATAGTATTTGTTAAATATTAGAGAAAACATTTAATAATTGATAAATATTATGTTACAGGAAAACAAATAAATGATTCGTCTGAACAATTCTCAGATAGAAAGATAAATAAATATAGCAATAGTGTGATAGATTCAGTATGCTAAGTACAAGTTTACGCACATACGTCAAGTTTCCCGTTTATTGTGAAGTTACTGTTAACTCTACGTGTGTCGTGAAAATTTATTATAAGTACTTCTGAATTTTAAGGAATCATTTTAAATTAAATTGTGTTTGAATTCATTACTTCTTAGTGTTAATTTTATATGAAAAGTAAGAATCAATTGTTACTGAGGTGTTATTTAAATTTTCGATACTGTTGATTTAAATAAATATATATTAGACAAGAATTTCGAATAATAATCGAGAATTCTTATTTATATATAAATATATATATTTATAATAGATAATAATCTGTGTATACTGTTAGGTTTTATCAATTAATTTTTAATGAATTTTGTAGTTAAGAAACCATTCGTAGTTGTGGTAAGTATATTGTTTATTCCATGTCAATGATATAGTTTCTTAATGTATATATGTTATTCAAGAAACATAAAATATATGACCTAAAACTTACTTATTAAGTTTTAAGGTCTCAATCAGCTTTACGGCGAGATTTTCTCATATGAGACGAAACCTCTCATCATTCAATGTATTCACGGTGCGTGTGTCGGGTCCATCGTTGTAGTGAGAGGAGCTTCAACAGTGACTGGGACTTGTGACCCAGGTGTAGGTTTAAGGGACCCTATCTAACGCGCGTTAAATGTCATTTCTAAATCAATTCTCAATACTACATACTAATCGTTTCCCGTTTCTCATTCAATAAAATACGTTTTAAATACAATAATTATGTACGAAAGCATTACGCATCTAGTATGGTTCTAGAGACTTGTGTTAACCACAGTTTTAAACACAATGAGATCTAAAATTTTTGCGATATATTCATTTAAATTAAACTAATATTTTTCTTATATACTACTCTTGCTTTATTTTTGTAAAAAAAACTACATACTTTCGACGTTTCGGTTACTTTTCAGCAACCGTGATCATTAAGATTTAAGATGAGATGAGTATGTAGTTTAAAAAAAAATAATCGCGTAGTATATCAGTAAAATATCAGTTTAATTAAAACTTTAATTAAAGTCCTTAAAACATAAAATTAATATATAACTATCACAAATTATAGGTATATTTGAGTTTTGACCCACAATCATCGTGTCAAAGGAGAAGCAATAACACGACTTCAAGGTACTTCAAGTAACTTCTATTCATAGAATACTTTCTAATCATCTTGTTGTAAGTGTGTTAGGGTAAGGTAAGTAACACAGGGTCACACGGACGTCGGTAAACTCGTTCTTATTTGTTCCTTGAAGTACATTTCTGATAATTCGTTACAATTTATATATCGTTTGTATTCTAGAACTTTCTATGTTATATATGGAATACATGCTTTTTATATCTTACTAGCTACGGCGTTACGGTGTTCGTTTTGGCTAGGAAATGAGTTCTAGAGTAAGTAAATATGGTTTTTCGCTTATATGAGGAAAAGTCGAACATTTTCCGGGATGTTAAGTAGCCTATGTTTTATTCCTGGACGTAAGCTTCCTGTATACAAAATTTTATCAAAATCGGTTTGGTCGTTTGAGCGTGAAGAAGTAACAAACATACACACACTCACAAACTTTCGCAATTATAATATTAGTAGGATATATAAAATTCTCGTGTGTTGTTAGACAGAGAACTCCTCAAAAACAGCTGGACCGTTTTGATGAAATTTTATGAGCATATTGACTAGGTCTGAGAATCAGCCAACATCAATTTTTCATACCCCTAAGTCACAAGGGTTGTTCACCCTTAATTTTTTATTTTTAATATCGGACGAAATGTTTTGTTTTTATTTTTTTTTATTAAAAAATGCATACAACCCAAAAAAAATCCCTTTTTTTTCACAAACCTCTATTTTTTTATATGGCAAAACAACGTTTGCCGGGTCAGGTAGTATATGTATATATCTTAAATTACCTTTAATATTATGTATATAAGTTATTTCAATTGCTTTTCATCTTATTCTCATTAGTAACTTTGTTTACGAACTCTGCCGGTGTAGTAGGTTATTTGTTAGTCTACTGCACTGCCGGTCCCAAGCCCGGATAAAAGAGGAGGGTTCATCGCGGGGCTAACCACCCAGCATGGGAAAACAGATATGGTTACGAACACTTCCACAACAGAAAATATCGGAACGCTCAAAACAAGACGACCCAGGCTGAGGAAAATGGACAACCGATTTAGCATGCGATTTGGAACATGGAACATACAGACGATGCTGCAGGCAGGAAAGATGATGGAGGTTGGAGACGTGCTCTGTAGGTACAATTTGGACCTAATCGCCCTACAAGAAGTACGGTGGAGTGGGACTGGGCAAATTGAAAAGCAAAACTTTACATTATACTACAGCGGTGCCACCAAACAGGGTCTCTATGGCACGGGATTTATGGTCGGTCGCAAACTTAAGCCGAGCATTTTAGGTTTCGAACCCATCAGTGACAGACTATGCAGCATCAGAGTTAAAGGCAAGCTTTACAACTCTACCTTCATCTGCTGCTATGCTCCTATTAACGATGCCGCCGATGAAACCAAAGATCAGTTTTACGGCGATCTTCAAAACGTCATAGAGAAAGTCCCTAGATACGACGCCCTTATAGTCCTCGGAGATGTTAACGCACAAGTGGGCAAGGAACAAGCCTTCGGGGAAGTAGCTGGCAAGCACTCGCTGCATGATGTCACGAACGACAATGGCGAACGATTGTGTTTTTCTTTGCCGCTGCCAATAACTTGTTCATTTCCAGTACTAATTTCCCACATAAGGCTATTCATAAAGGCACATGGAAGGTCCCAGGAACAGATAGGGTCAACCAGATTGATCACATACTAAGCAGTAAACGCAGAATGTCAAACATACTTGACGTAAGATCATACCGCGGTGCTAATTGTGATTCAGATCATTTCCTGGTGGTTGCAAGGGCAAGATTTAGGACTCAAACCGTGCAGTGCAAAAGCGAAAGAAGAATCAGATGGGCAACGGAAAAACTCAAAGACGGCGAGATTAACACCAAATACAAGCAAGAGATAGCAAAACAGCTTGAACTACGACTGCCGCAATCCGACATTGAGCTGGAATGGAAGAGCATAAAAGATGGTATATTGGAAGCGGCAAAGGAAACGATAGGAGAAAAACAGAGAGTCCGACCTGAAGAGTGGTATGACGAAGAATGTCGAGAAGCCTTAGAGCGGAAGAATGCGGCTCGATTAATTTACCTGCAGTCAAAGTCTTCGACGCACAAGGAAAAATTCAAGGAAGAAAGGGATAAAGCGCGTAGGCTTCTGAAGCGCAAGAGAAAGGCGAGTGAGCTAAGGCAGATGCAAGCGCTCGATGATGCGGGAACTAGGGGTTCGGTAAGAACCTTCTTCAAAAAAGTCAATCCTTTGCGTAAAGGATTCCAACCCAGAATTAATATCTGTCGTGACGGGGAAGGCAATGCATTAACCGACAAAACCGAGATCTTAAAGCGATGGCGGGAGTATTTCGACAATCTGCTTAATGTGGGCAGTGAAGCTGCAGACCGCATTACATTTTATGACGTGGAGCAGGAAATTAACCCACCAACCGTTACGGACGTCGAGAAATGCATTAAATACCTTAAAAACAACAAAGCATCGGGTCTGGACACGATAGCCGCCGAAATGGTGAAGACTGCGGGCCCTGAACTAATAGAGCGATTGCACCACCTGATCACGCAAATCTGGCTTGAAGAAACCCTCCCACAAGACTGGTGCTTAGGTATAGTTATACCGATCCACAAGAAAGGGGACAAGACAGTCTGCAGTAATTACCGAGGCATCTCAGTTCTGTCCGCGGCGTACAAGATGTTTTCTGGGTTGGTATACTTGGAAATCAGAAGGTATGCCGAAGAAATTCTGGGGGAATATCAGGGTGGTTTTAGACCGAATCGGTCTACGACTGATCAAATCCATCTCATCCGCCAGAATCTTGAAAAGGCTTATGAATATGATATAGATCTACATCATATGTTCATAGATTTCAAGCAGGCCTTCGATAGCGTGAACAGACATAAGATCTTTGATGCAATGAGGTTACTGGGAATCCCAAGTAAACTAGTGCGCCTGGTTGAGGCTACTATGTGTAACTCGAAATCGGTAGTAGCTATACAAAATGACATATCGGACCCATTCGAAATACGCTCAGGAGTAAGGCAAGGAGATGCCCTATCTACTGTTGTCTTCAACCTTACGCTGGAGGCAGCCATCCGAAACGTAGGAGTAAAAGGGCTTTTAGACTATAACACCAGTCAGCTAGCCGCCTATGCGGATGATATCGTTATCACAAGCAGGTCTCAAAGCAGCATGATCAGACACACCACAACTCTCCAGATGGAAGCGGCAAAGTATGGATTGATGGTTAACGCAAGCAAAACGAAGTACCTTCATAGCACGCGCAACCCTCGTCCACTACAGGATGTCACCATTGGAGATGATACAATTGAAGGAGTCAGCAGCTTTAAGTACCTGGGGTCGATACTGTCCAGCCGGAATAAGGTTGGAGATGAGGTGAATGCCAGAATCATGGCTGGCAGTAGATGCTTTTACTCTCTCAGCAAACTTTTCCGATCAAAATATCTTAGTGCAAAATCCAAGCTGTCTATCTATAAGACCATAATACGCCCCGTCACCACCTATGGGTGTGAAGCATGGTCACTAACAGCTTTGGAAACCCAAAAGCTCGCCGTGTTTGAGAGGAAAGTTCTGCGCAAAGTGTTTGGGCCAGTGAAAGACGCAGACGGTGACTACCGTATACGCATGAATCACGAGCTGGAGGCACTCATGAACCGAGAAACAATCGTCCGATTCATCAAGTCACAGCGTCTGAGATGGGCTGGGCACGTAGAGAGGATGGGCAAAAACAGGGCACCCAAGATTATGACCGACTGGAAGCCGCAGCAAAGGAGACCTAGAGGAAGGCCGAGAAAGAGATGGTGCGACTGCATCGAAGATGATCTCAAGGCTCTGAAATGTTTTACGAACTGGAGAAGGACAGCCAGGGATCGTCGCGCATGGCAGTCTATTGTGGAAGAGGCCAAGACCCACAAAGGGTTGTAGCGCCGAAGAAAGTAAAGTAAGTAAACTTTGTTTACGAGGTAACTTGAGACGTGCGTGTTGAATTAACTGAGAAGAAAAAATCACTAAAGCATACTATTACGACTGTTTTATAAAGTTAAATTTAACATAAATATTTTTAAAAATGAAATTCAAAATTAATTAATAGTAAGAAGATTTTTGTAATCCATCTCTTTATTACGATTTTTCTATTAAATCGTTGAATATATTGCAATGAATTATGTAATATAAATATTACATTCGACGAAGTCGCGTGTACAAATATATATTATTACTTCGCCATTGCTACTATTTCAAGCTTTTTTACACTTACAACAAGTTTGTGTTTAACTAAATACGTAAAGTTATATGTAATTATTCGTATAAAAAACTAATATTTTGGAATAACTACATACGCGTTTTGTATAATTTTAAACTACATACTTCCAAAATTTCGTTTACTTTACAGCAACCGTGATAACAGACTTATCTTAAAGCGTGGTACATAAAAAATGTCAGTTTAATTTAAATGTATACTCGCGAAAGTCTTAAATATCATCATACGCATACATGATAGTATCTTAATAGGTATATGGATAGAAAACGTGAAACGCCGCGTCTGTAGTTTGAGTGTTAACTTATAGTAAGGATGACCGCAGGCGTATTTGCTAGGGACGTGACTTTAAACAATAGCTTCCATGAACTTGTATGATGTTTAGTAAAAATATATAACTATATAACGGTCATATATATCCCTACTAATATTATAAATGCGAAAGTAACTCTGCCTGCCTGTCTGTTACGCTTCCACGCCTAAACCACTGAACTGATTTTAATGAAATTTGGTACAGACATAGAGTTAACCTTGAGAAAGAACATAGGATAGTTTTTATCCCAGACTTGTGAAAGGTTCTCTAGGAAACGCGATATAACCGAAGTCCACGCAGGCGAAGTTGCGGGTGGAAAGCTAGTAATATATAAATATTAACATACTATTAAAAATGCGTTAAAAACGATTAGTCGGATAAAAAAGTACAATACATTTCCAAAAAGGGTTGATGTCAGGCAGGCGGCCGGTCGTAAAAACAATTAGACAAAACTATTCACAACATGTAAGGCAGACCCTGGCTAAATCTGGGAAATTGCCAAGAAGAAGAAGAAAAAGTACAATATACAAAAATATATCGATTTTAGTACTGAAACGAAATCTATTTACTATTTCGAATAACATTAATTTTATATATGAACTAGTTATAATATACCTCATTATATATAATTTAAGTACATATTCCTAATATGTTTTAAATGAGATTATTTGTCGTGTGAAATAAAAGCAACTATGGGACAGACAATGGGACATTGATTTATGGGGTTTCTTTCCCATATAATTCGTTTCGTTTTATTTTTTATATTGCTATCTTAATTTTAATCTAGTAATTCACATATAAGGCTTTTTTTCTAGAAACATAGGTACTTTGACGTCTTGTGTACATAATTTTTATAGTTATGTTAATTTTAACTAGATGGCAGCACACTATTCTGGTTGTGAAAACTAGGTCTATCTATGCCTTAATATCTATTATCCTTTTTTAGCTTATTTTTACTAATTATTGTATTTTTATATCCGTATTAGATTTTAGTTAATTTATACTTAATCAATTCTATTCATTGCTTACCATATGTTAATATATATTTACGTATTTTACTTAATGAAAAACGTGAAACTCTTCGTATGTAGTGAAAACTTATACTAAGACTACTCCAGGCCCCGGAATGCGTCCCAAGGGCCTTAAATTCTCTAAGAGGCTTCTTAGAAGTACGTTCTTGCTTTTTAACCTACGGCAACAAAACTCTTGCAACGAAAGACTCCTTCAAGCAACAATTATGCCCCAACTTAACCATTCCCCAGTACAATTAAAGCTACATAGGCATATACATTTATGTATAAGCATACAAAGAATATAATTTAAAAACAGTGGTGGCCTAGTGGTTAAAGCCCGCCTCTCATGAGGGCGCGGATTCGATCCTAGCAAGTACCATTGTGATTTTTCCGAGTCATATGTACTTTCTAAGTATTTAGACATCACTGATTAATGCATTAACAAAAAGCGTTGATGTTAGGCATGCCGCGAAAACAATTAGCCGAATCTATTCACAACATGTAAGACAGACTCTGGCTAAAGCTGGGAAATTGACAGGTAGAAGAATGTAATAAAACACAATTTCTATTATACCATAGACAATAAAATATACAAAAAATAGCCGACCATAAACTAAAAGATAAAAGAAATGAAGGCTATCTTTATCTTTATTTATCCTTATAAACTTCTCTATTTAACGGACGCGGGCAATTAATTAGCTGTAATTGTTTATTTTATCCCGCCATTTTGTTTTCACGCACTACCAAGTAAGTTCAGAAAGGATGGAGTTTTATTTTTATACAGCTTTTTATTTTTAAGTTTATTTAGTAATGGCAGCTGGTTTTGTTTACGATTTTCTCAATTCATTTTAAATAATCAAGTTTAGGTTAAATTATTATTTTATTATGTGTAATTTTGAGTTAATAATAATGATTTTTTAGGACTAAATTTGATAGAAATCTCATTATTTCTCACTTTCTATTTATTTTAAAGTAATTTAAATGTAAATTATATTATTAATTCAACTTTTTGTGGTTTTATACTGAAGTACATTTTCGATTTCCGATGTTAGTATTTTTTTTTTAACAAACGCATGCATTATAATGACCATAATGACTTCAAGGGAAACGAACTCGATGCATGCATGACGCCATGCATACATGCACGAACTATCAGTCGTGCATATGTAAATAATATAGTAATCACGTTTAGAAATTAATTAATTCTAACAACAGAGTCATGAAAATCAAATTTACGACAGAAAAAAATAATATATCAATCATAAATTGGCGCCAAACGTAAGTATTAACAACAATTTAATACATAATTTATTATTAACGCTTGGATATTTATTTAAAACTATCCAGCCATTGTATATCTATCACATAAATTTTCTTTACAACACAAGCGAATAGCTCAAATACATTGAAAGAGGCTGTTTAAAAGAAACGAAATAGCTATGTGTCAGTATGACAAGCACCATATTGTGTGTTAAATGCTTAAAGAAAATTATATATAAAACCTTATTTGATAGCAATAAAAATAAAAGTACAGGCTGGCGAGGAATTAAAGAGTTTTATAAAAAAAAAATATATATAAAAGAACGCATTCTATTTTTAAATCGCCGTCATTTTTTTCCCGCCGGTGTTACCTTACGCTATCTCATTATATCGATGACAGAGTCATTGTTGTGTCGATTTATATTCTGTGCTCGTTTTATCGATATCGATATTCTCTTTAATTTTAATTTCATCGAGTACTCAGGATACTCGTCAATTTCTAGATTTTTATTTTAAAACCTTATTTGTAGTACATTAAAAAATTTCGTTCGGAAATTATAAATAAATAGATATACCATCACTAAAATATAATTTTATCAATCCCAATTCGTTCGGAAATTTTAAGGACTGATATATTAACCAAAATAAATTTTCGTTAATCAATCCTTTTTCATATTGTTAACTATTTTATTACACACTGAATATTTATTTATCTTTCGTTTATTGGTACTTTTTAAAATAGTAATAATATAGCTATATAATATTAAAACTATATTATCTTTATTGTGTAAAGAGAATGCATTAAGTTTCTAATAAAACTATATTAAGTCTGTACAAGTATTATGAATATTCAATACAAACAAATGAACATTAATTCTCGAAACACATTTAGAACACACTCACGTTGGTTGTACCGTAGTATTAATAATTAAAAACTATCTTTGACATTTACAATACAATTATATGTATAAATAGAGCTCTAAAACTAAATTTGTTTTACAAAAACGATATTTTTCATTATATATATTAAATTATCTTGTAATTATTACAATGTCAATATTACTGTCAAATTTTTTTTTCAAATTGACAGATAAATTTAAAAGTATTTTGCTTAATGGATCAATTTAAAATAAATGTTACGTGTATAAAAAAATATTAAGCCTGTGTTGCCATTATATAATTTATATTTTTGTCAAATCAGGTTAAATATAATAATATTTAGATATTATAATGAATAATATTACTAAAATATACTAAATTTATATCAGAATAAATATCATTAGAAGAATTGTAAGGTTTTTAATTTATTTTTTATAATTAAGTGACTCAAAACATCCCACGTCTGGGAGCGGCCTTATTCCTAAAATGGAAAACAAAAAAATCAACAACACCACTATCTTTATATCGACTCTATTTCAATATAAATAGAGTTCAATTCTATTCGTAATACATATAGGATAAAACAACAATGCATGTACAATTAAAATTCGACTTTATTATCTTGTATCGAGATTCATTATCGTGTGTCATACAATTATGTCCTCATTCAACCTTCAATAAAGCCTACGCGGTGATGTAAAGTATTCTCAGTAATTTTGTAATATGTATATATGTATATTCTATTTAAATATTAAAATAAATAATAATTTTTAAAACGATTTGATTTCCCGCCATTTTTTTTTCCATCATCTGTCATAACTGTCAAATATCTAAGCACAATAATAAGACGAAAATATAATGAAAAAGAACTTATTATAATATGAAATAACCAAAATTAGACAAATTTTTAGTATTAGTAAAGATTTATTTATTTCCTATTTAAGAAACGGTATATATGTTAATTATAGAATACTAAACAAACGCCAAT